ATAGTTGTCTGGAGGTACTATTTAGAAGAAAAAAATCAAGAGTGACACACATCTATATTTTATGGGGACTAATTAAAAATACAAAAATTGCGGAGGACTGCATACAATCGTTGATTTTCTTACTTTTTATATTATTTCTTATTAAACATTTAGGGTCAATCCAAGAAAACGCTTTTTGGACACCCTCCCCTCCCCCCTCCTGTTCTATCAATTTCTTACATTATAAATACTATATAACAAAATTATTAATATGAACTCGAATTTTAAGGTGGGAGAGGGATAGATGCTGTAACGAGATGAAGCAGCATACTGGGCAGTTTTGGATCAGGTACTTTTATCTTAAAATATTAGAATCTTAAAACCTAAATTAGAATCTTGAAACCTAAATTATAATCTTGAAACCTAAATTAGAATATTGAAACCTAAATTAGAATCTTGAAACCTGAATTATAATCTTGAAACCTAAATTATAATCTTGAAACCTAAATTCTTGAAACCTAAATTAGAATCTTGTAACTTAAATTAGAATCTTAAAACCCAAACTATTATCTTGAAACCTAAATTATAATCTTGAAACTTAAATTATAATTTTCAAACTTAAATTAGAATTTTGAAACTTAAATTATAATTTTCAAACTTAAATTAGAATCTTTAAACCTAAATTAGAATCTTGAAACCTAAATTATAATCTTAAAACTTAAAATATAATCTTGAAACCTAAAATATAATCTTGAAACCTAAATTAGAATCTTGAAACCTAAATTAGAATCTTGTAACCTAAATTACAATCTTGAAACCTAAATTAGAATCTTGAAACCTAAATTAGAATCTTGAAAACTAAATTAGAATATTGAAACCTAAATTAGAATCTTGAAACCTAAATTAGAATCTTAAAACCTAAATTAGAATCTTAAAACCTAAAATAGAATCTTGAAACTTAAATTATAATCTTGAAACCTAAATTAGAATCTTGAAACCTAAATTATAATCTTGAAACCTAAATTTTAATCTTGAAACCTAAATTATAATCTTGAAACCTAAATTATAATCTTGAAACCCAAATATAAGATATTGAAATTAAATTATAATTTTGGAACTTAAAGTATAATCTTAACGTACTGTTAGATTGACGAAATGTAATATTGACAATTTAAAGATTACTGCAGTTAATAGTTTGTTTCTTTATTTCAGTGACAATTCCTTGATATTATTTTATGCAAAAAAATAAATATTTTACGTAATTCAGGATTAATTGTTTAGGGTTTGGTTAAAAGTATGTGATCATACTTCTCTTACTGGCGAGATCACAGATCGGGAGAGAAGTAAGGTGGACGCTGAAAATGAGGATGAACAGATTAGGGAGGATAAGGATGAGGATGAACAGATTAGGGAGGATGAGGATGAGGATAAGGATGAAGAGAGAAGTGTCTCCATTAAGATGTATATTGAAAGAGAGAGAATGGCGAGCATGAAAGCCTTGATTCCAGGTATGGTTAATAGGTAGATTTTTTTGGGAAACATGTTTGCATTTTTAAAAATCAAGGCATTTGATTTCACTTAAATATTTGCTGTAAACATGACCTATATAGTATTAGAAATATCATCATTTTACTAAGTTTTAAATCAATTCATGCTTGATAATCAGACAACATATTTTTTATGGTTTTGTAAAGTGAAAAGAGTGATTAAACTCTGCACAATAATTTCTTAAGACAAACCCTTTGTGATGAACACTGTATACAAACCAAATCAAATTTCTGAGCTTTTAAGTTTTTTTTAGGTTATCCTTGTGTTATCTCCAACCTCAAGGTTATTCAGGTAATTAAGATTAAGATAGATAAAGGGACTGTCAGCTGATTTGTTATGGATCTTTTATTTTAAAAAGTTCCATAAATGATTTACGACTGTACACTTATTTTTTATATGTGAGGAAATTTATTTGTTTAAAAAATCGACCCTCTTGAGTCTTGATAGTAAGCTCTATAGACTATAGAAAAACAGAAATTGGCTTAATTACAGACCCATTGAATCTCTGATAAAAATGAGAAAAATTATAAGTTTAAGATTGTCCTAAAATCCAAGGGTTTCCTTAAAGTTCTGTAGACGTACCTTTAAGTGGCCCTACAGTTATAGTGATGGCATTTCCAATACCCAACGTTAACCTTAAATTTTTTTTAATTTGGTGATGGTGATGAACCAAATCTCTGTAAAGTAAAAAAAGTAGATGTTAGTTCCACATTTATTAAAAATATATTTCGGTCTGGGTTGACCCTCGTCAGTTCTAACGATATAATAACCATCAAAATCGATAAAAAAAAATTTAAAATTTGTAAAAAAAAATCACAAGAAAATAAACAAACAAAAAAGATTATTCAAAATAAAAATCTGGGCTGTCAAATGGGCATAAGGGAAAAGAACTCAGATTATGAGATGGAAAAAAGATAATTTGCAAATATTCACTTTTAAAAAAGATGTTTTAAGACAATTATTATTCCTTGAGATTGTTTCTGTTACAAAGATTAAAAACAAACTGTTTAGATGTATGTGTATAGAGTATAGTGGTGGGGGTCGATCTATATAACGAACTTTTGCTTAAATCGGGGGGAGGGGACGGCTTGTTTAAGGAGGGGTATTTAAACCTTTTAAAGAATTGGACATAAACAACTCTTTTTTAAAAGATACTGGATTACAGTTTACAATTAAATAGAAACTATTTTTTTTCTGTTCATTCCTCTGAGTTCAGTCATAAAATCACTAATGTATTTAGATTGTCTAATCAAGAATAATGAAATATCCATGATTTCTCTCTTTAAACAGATTATCTTCAAGTGTGGTTTCTCTTAAAACGTGACTAACTTTACAAAAAAAAATTAAGAAAATTTTGGGAATTACAAACTTTTCAAGAAAGAATAACGATGATATCCTCCACAATTTAATCAGTTTAAGGTTAAAAGGCACCGTTGTAAATCGGACACTTTGCCCTATTTAAAGAGAGAGTCACTTTAAAGTACAAACACATTCCCTTTAAGCTTAAATTCCAACAGTCTTTGAAAAATGTTAAATATTTAGATTGAGAATCAATTTTCCCATCTTGAATGCACGAATGAAACCCAGGTATAATTATATAATTATTATGATAAATTATAACTCACGCAACTTTATTTCTAGATTTTTCCGGGCGATGCTGGGTTTTCCAGTAGGTTTATATCACCACTAGATACCGCCGCTGTATCCAGCAGAGCACAGGTAGGGTTTCTATAGTAGGTTTATATCACCACTAGATACCGCCGTCACTGTATCCAGCAGAGCACAGGTAGGGTTTCTATAGTACATTTATATCACCACTAGATACCGCCGCTGTATCCAGCAGAGCACAGGTAGGGTTTCTATAGTAGGTTTATATCACCACTAGATAAAACCACTGTATCTAGCAGAGCACAGGTAGGGTTTCTATAGTAGATTTATATCACCACTAGATACCACCGCTGTATCCAGCAGAGCACATTTAGGGTTTCTATAGTAGGTTTATATCACCACTAGATACAACCACTGTATCCAGCAGAGCACAGGTATTGTTTCTATAGTAGGTTTATATCACCACTAGATACCGCCGCTGTATCCAGCAGAGCACAGGTAGGGTTTCTATAGTAGGTTTATATCACCACTGAATACCACCACTGTATCCAGCAGAGCACAGGTAGGGTTTCTATAGTAGATTTATATCACCACTAGATACCGCCGTTGTATCCAGCAGAGCAAAGGCAGGGTTTCTATAGTACATTTTTATCACCACTAGATACCGTCGCTGTATCCAGCAGAGCACAGGTATTGTTTCTATAGTAGGTTTATATCACCACTAGATACAACCACTGTATCCAGCAGAGCACAGGTATTGTTTCTATAGTAGGTTTATATCACCACTACTGTATCCAGCAGAGCACAGGTAGGGTTTCTATAGTAGGTTTATATCACCACTAGATACCACCGCTGTATCCAGCAGAGCACAGGTAGGGTTTCCATAGTAGATTTATATCACCACGAAATAGTAGATACAACCACTGTATCCATCAGAGCACAGGTAGGGTTTCTATAGTAGGTTTATATCACCACTAGATACAACCACTGTATCCATCAGAGCACAGGTAGGGTTTCTATAGTAGGTTTATTTCACCACTAGATACCACCACTGTATCCATCTGAGCACAGGTAGGGTTTCTATAATAGGTTTATATCACCACTAGAAACCACCACCGTATCCAGCAGAGCACAGGTAGGGTTTCTATAGTAGGTTTATATCACCACTAGATACAACCACTGTATCCAGCAGAGCACAGGTATTGTTTCTATAATAGGTTTATATCACCACTAGAAACCACCACCGTATCCAGCAGAGCACAGTTTCTATAGTAGGTTTATATCACCACTAGATACAACCACTGTATCCAGCAGAGCACAGGTATTGTTTCTATAGTAGGTTTATATCACCACTAGAAACCACCACTGTATCCAGCAGAGCACAGGTAGGGTTTCTATAGTAGGTTATGGAATTTGGTGTTGACCACCAACCTAAGCAAACTAAAAAAGTTTGATAAAACTCTACCCAGGCCAAAATTCTTCATAGAACATACTTAAATGATACATCACCCTGGCCCTTTTTTAAGTATTGGCAGGTTTGCATGTTATGTCACTCAACTTAATAACCTTTGACGACAAATGTATTTGAATCTGTCGCGGGTCGGAATGCGGGAAACAAGCAAGATGTTCATTTCTATATAGATTGCAATTTTGGTTGCAATCTTGGGACGAGGGTGAAAACTTCCTCCCCCAAGTTTCGTAACATGTGCCGCTACTGACTAAGCCACGGAGCTTCCTTGCTTATGTTGTTCTAGATTGAAGCCTCCAACAGCGTGGTGGAGATGTTCCGGACCTCCTGGCAGTCCAACATGGCCTTTTGGGGAGAGAAGATATTGTAAGTTTTTCAAAATGAAAGGATGGGGTTTATATTCACTTATATGATACATATCCTCCTATATAATGCATATCCTCTTGATGCATATCCTTTTATATGATGCATATCCATCCTATTATTTGATACATTTCCTCTTATAATATTATATCCTCTTGTATAATACACATCCTATTATATGATACATTTAACTCTTATATGATATCATATCCTCTTATATGATGCATATCCTCCTATATGATACATATTCTCCTATATGATGCATATCCTCCTATATGATACATATTCTCCTATATGATGCATATCCTCTTGATGCATATCCTTTTATATGATGCATATCCATCCTATTATTTGATACATTTCCTCTTATATGATATCATATCCTCTTATATAATACACATCCTATTATATGATACATTTAACTCTTATGTGATACGTATCCTCTCATTAAATGCATATCCTCTTATATGATGCATATCCTCATATCATACAGTGAAAAACCATAGAGAATAGAATATATAGAGAGGAATTAAAAGAATCTCTCGGTATGAAATTTTTCAGTCCCTTTCAGCCTGAAAGGGAGTTCAAAGTGTACAAATCATGTAAATGTTCACAAATTATATGCAGTAGAGTACTTTATAATGAATTAGGTGAATAAAAACATCATTTAATTTACAGTTATAACGGAAAATCATCGTTTGTAAAGTAGAAGGCATAAAGTCTATGTGAAATGATCATTGGTCAATTATGAAACCAGTCTATTTCATAATTTGGTTTTCTTTTAACAATAATTTTAGATTTTCTATATAATGATATTCCAGGGCCCAACAGCTTATATAGCATAAATATGTGAAGTACACCTGAGCCCGAAATTTAAAAGAGTATCGTTGAACGAAACTCCCGAGTTTCCTTTTCGAGGTCTTAACATTTGCGTAGATTTGATTTCAGAGATTCGAAAAAAATGGAGAATATGAAGAAACTAAATAAAATAATATTTCATAACAAAGATATTCATATCCACAAAACTGCCTTACCCCATTCGTGAAACCCGGGTTCCAACACTGGTTTTCATAACGATACCCTGTCTTAAGTTTTGGGCTCTGCAGTATGGAAACAGTACAACAAAATGGCCGTTTTACACTTTATTCCATTAAATTCCTCTCTATTTATTCTATTCTCTATGAGTGAAACCCTTAATAACGAATACATCGGAAAAATTTATCAAATGTCGTCTTGACAATTTTTCAATTAGTTTTAACTACAGGGTGTCCCACGAAACATGACAGTATGCAGGATGACTTGAATGTCGTCTTGATTTTTGATATAATTTTCTGCGTTTATTTGTCAACCTAATTTTAGAAGTAAATTACTAGAGATAATAATCACAAAATTCCCCTAGTCCTGCCATTTCCAAAATCTGGTCTGCCTTTTTTGTGCTTTCAATATTACCCGAGATATGAAGAATTTCGTTCAGATTTCGACAATTTTGCTTTTATTTAACAAAATTGAAATCTGAACCAAACTCTTTATATCTCCGGTAATATTGAAAGCACAAAAAACGCAGACCACTTTTTGGAAATGCCAGGGCGAGGAGAATTATGTGATAATTGTTTCAAGAATCATACATGTTAAAGTAGATAGAAGACTAAATGTCACAAATAAATTCAAATACCAAAGACGACTTTCAAGTCGTCTTCCTATTGTCATGTTTCGTGGGACACCCTGTATATTAAGTAAATTTCAGTATTTGCGAAAATAAATAAATATCCATGAATATGCGCGAACAGTTTTAAAGAGTTCCATATAATCATTTAATTAAAAAACTAAATATCTGCAACATTCCATTATCAGAAAGTGAAGAATACGACATTTGATGAATTCTTTCGATGTATTCGTTATTATGGGTTTCACTGTATCAAATCAAGAAACCAGATATTTTCCATCAGCTCCCTGATATAGTGAGATTTGATATTTTAAATTTTGAATTCTTAGATCAATTGGTTATTGTTTGATACATCAAAGGTGCAAAGAGATAAGATGATCATAGTTTTGTGGCAAGTATTCAGGCCCTTCTTATTTTGCATAGAAAGTTTGGTTGTTTCGGCGGGAACGAACATCCACCGCGGTCTGTTTCTGTTTCCTTTAATATTGTTGGATTTGTACTTCGGGATGCTGAAGCAGTAAAGAGTGCCATTATTAACCTTCCCTTCAAAACATGTGTCAGGTCAGCAACATTGGTATTATCTGGATAGTACTAGAGAATGGCATAGATTTTAGTCTGATTTAAATCATTTCAGGCTTTGTGAAGAAATTTTTCACGTTCTTTGTTAGGTAGTGGGTGCAGGGACGCCATGAGCCCCGTAAAATGGTCTCCCAGCCTCTGTTTTCGCAGTCGGGTACTTAAAATAAATTTATTCTAACGTTTAGGGGTAGCGCCAGGTCATTTTAAATACTCTTCTACAAACATGGGCTTGAAGGCCATTTTGCGGGGCACATGGCGATCCTGCACCCCCTCCCTCTCTCTCTATTGATATTAATCCGTCACGAAAAGCAAAGACTATTTTGGTTTCATGTTAATAGAGATTCCATTTCTAAAATTAAAATGATTTGTAAAAAGTATAAATCTGAAATAAATTTGAAATTTTAGAGTAATGATTGGAGGAAGTGTATCTTGTATTCGAACCATGTCCATGAATGGAAGTCTAGCTGATCAGATCCAGGAGGAAGAGATCATTGATATCCCTGAAGGAGATGAAGCTGAATACTCAGCTAGAGATGTACTTGACTATGTACTTAGTAAAGTACCTGAAGTTCAAGGAGAAAGCAAACAAGTACCTGAACCTATACCTGAACATATACCTAAACCCGTACATGTACCTGAACTTGAATTTTGCTCTTCAATCCCCAGCCAGCATAGTTTTTTAAGGAGTATTTCAGGTATTTATTTTTGTTAATATTATCAAAATGTCAAAGAAATTATCGTTTGTCATTGTCATATTCAAAACAAAATTATTTTTAAACCTTTCAACAAACATGGATTTTTTAAAGATATAGTATTTTTCAAGTCATTCATGTGATTTTTATGGCAAATTAATAATTTCTTTGGATAAAAACACCCAATACAAAATGCATGAAAATATAAAGTTGTTTTTGTCTTTAAATGTCTTCTAAAAATCTGAGATTTAAATCACACAAAAGAATCAGATTATTTATAAGTTTGCTTTTAATCCATTGTGCAAAAAAATTCTCTGACTAAAGAAATTAACCAAAACGATTTTTCCAATCGTTTAGAAAATTGGTTTTGTTTGGTATAAAAATGTAGCTAAGTGTAATAAGCAAACTTATCAATGCTATTTGAAAGAGGATAAGCGTCTCAAATTCTTAAAATAAAATATCTTTGATGTTTAAAACGGACCCCAAAACGATGCACTTTCCTTTCCAGGACTGACGTTATCAGAAATCCGGGAAACAGTTTCTGAAACCTGTTTTCTGGATCATAATAGTGCGGAATCAGTCAGTTCAAGATCTGGCAGTATAATACCTTCTAGGTATGGATCATAAGAATTAAAAATGATGATTATGAAAAATTAAAGTAAGGGCTTTTTAATCGTCTTTTTTTCTATAATGCCTTAATTTTTTAAGAAACCCTCAAAATCTACAAAACATAGAAAATTGCATAATAAAATGGCTTGAAATCTTAGTATTATTATGACGTTATAGCTTTGCCTAAAAACAAAGTTTTCTTTTAAAGGGTCGTCTTTAACTTAGAACTTTTCAAGTTTATTAAAAGCAACTTTAACACATAATATGGTTATGAAATCTTGGAAGTTTAACAATTAACATACTACGCAACAAACTACTTTCAGCAACAGGCCCCTGAGCCTTACATTTTAGAGTTAAAATGTCGTCTTCAAAATAAAATTCCTTTATAGTTTTCGTAAGATTCTGGGCGACGTGAGCACTGAGCAATGCAGTAAATACATTTTCCATTATGATTAATTAAAAAATTTCTTAATTGACGACCTCTCCGTTTCAAGATTTTGTATGGTGCAGCTGATTGTACGAGGATGTAAACTATGGTGTCAAGCTTCAATACAACTTAAAGAACAGGTATCTCTACTAAAATATTTTAAGTGTAATTATGGCAAGTGTAACCATTATGGCAAGTGTAACTTATGGCAAGTGTAATTTATGGCAAGTGTTACTTATGGCAAATGTAATTATGACAAATGTAATTATGACAAAAGTATTTATAGCAAAAGTATTATGGTAAATGAAACTAAGCCAAAATTTGTCATCGAACTGTGAATATTTAGTTGATTGAGACGAGGGGAAGGAATTGTAGATATTGTGTAGACCTATTCCGGTTTCAGGGAACCAAGGGGCCTCATTCTTCATCAGGTATTTAAAAAGGTTAATTTCTCCTACAGGGTTACCCACAAAAAATGAAACTGTAAAAACGACTTGAAACTCTTTAAACAATCATGAATATAAGGAAACAGACAATATAAATTCTGTACGGTCGTCTCTGAAATCTCATCCTTTGTGGTTTATTCTAAAAATCATTCATCACTTAAAACAAAGTACAATAGGTTTAAGATGCGGGGGATAAACGTTGTGTTCACATTTGACTTTGTCGTAATATCACTTTACTAAACCTTACTAAACTTTTCTAAAGTTTACTAGACTTTACTAAACTTTATTAGACTTTACTAAACTTTACTAGACTTTACTAGACTTTACAAGACTTTACTAGGCCTCACTAGGCTTCACTAGACTTTACTAGACTTTACTAGACTTTACTAGACTTCATTAGACTTTACTAGACTTTACTGGACTTTACTAGACTTTACTAGACTTTACTAAACTTTACTAGACTTTACTAGACTTTACTAAACTTTACTTGACTTTACTAAACTTTACTTGACTTTACTAGACTTTACTAATCTTTACTAGACTTCACTAGACTTTACTAAATTTTACTGGACTTTACTAGACTTTACTAGACTTTACTAGACTTTACTAGACTTTACTAGACTTTACTAGACTTTACTAGACTTTACTAGACTTTACTAGACTTAACTAGACTTTACTAGACTTTACTAGACTTTACTAGACTTTACTAGACTTTACTAGACTTTACTAGACTTTACTAGACTTTACTAGACTTTACTAGACTTTACTAAACTTTACTAGACTTTACTAGACTTTACTAGACTTTACTAGACTTCACTAGACTTCACTAGACTTTACTAAACTTTAACAGACTTTACCAGACTTTACCAGACTTTACTAGACTTTACTAGACTTAACTAGACTTAACTAAACTTTACTAGACTTTACTAAACTTTACTAGACTTTTCTAGACTTTACTAAACTTCACTAGACTTCACTAAACTTCACGAGACTTTACTAGACTTTACTGGAATTTACTGGACTTTGATGGACTTTACTAGACTTTACTAGACTTTACTAGACTTTACTGGAATTTACTGGACTTTACTAGACTTCACTAAACTTTACTAGACTTTACTAGACTTTACTAGACTTTACTAGACTTTACTGGACTTTACTGGAATTTACTGGAATTTACTGGAATTTACTGGACTTTACTAGACTTTACTAGACTTCACTAGACTTCACTAGACTTCACTAGACTTCACTAGACTTCACTAATCTACTAAACTTTACTAAACTTTACTAGACTTTACTAGACTTTACTAGACTTTACTAGACTTTACTAGATTTTACTAGACTTTACTAGACTTTACTGGACTTTACTGGAATTTACTGGACTTTACTGGACTTTACTGGAATTTACTGGACTTTACTAGACTTTACTAGACTTTACTGGACTTTACTTGACTTTACTAGACTTTACTAGACTTTACTAGACTTCACTAGACTTCACTAGACTTCACTAGACTTCACTAATCTACTAAACTGTACTAAACTTGTTTTATCAAAACAATAACAGGATAGGAAGCTGGGTTCGTTTACCAACTGAGTGCAAAACTTAAGAAAATTATAAAACTCGCTACGATACCCGGTTTCCTGAAACCCGGGTTTTTGCAGAGTTCGGGTTTCATGTTCTTAAAACGTATTTTGAAACTCTAGGAAACTGGGTTAAAATATGCTGTCGTTGGAGTCTCCAGGTGTGGTGTTTTATGAATAAAGCTGCTACGCACTTGAAAGTGATCAAATTGGTATCCGTTTTTTGGCGTAATAGTCGGCCCATCCAAGGAAAGATTTAAATTTACACTCTTATAATGTCCAGAAAGGTGGAGCTACAGATTTTTTAAAATATCTGTAGTTGTGTGATGTCATCAGATACATTTGTGAATTTGCTGAGACTTTCTTTTAGTTTAAAGAATATTTTTGGTACTTATTAAACTTAAAAAAGTTTTTTTTTGCACAAGGATCTCATTAAAAAAAATTTCTAAGCCTACAATTTTTTTTTCTGTTTCATTCTAAATTTTTACAATATCACTAAGATTTTTAAGCAAAAGTAATTTACAGGACTTATTGAAAAAAACTGTTTTAATGTATTAGGTAGATTAATGTTAATTTTTCTTCAGCAGTCTATTGCTATTATTATTCTTACTCGGGCTATATAATTTATAACTAGATTTTAGAAACTTATAAAAACAATTTCTGTTATATGGGACTAGGGGGGGGGGGTGCAAATTCGTCATTGCACCCCTCTTTTCGAAGAAAGGGGGGTGCACCTGCACCCTTGCACCCCCCCCCTGGTTACGGGCCTGCTAGAAGATAAACTTAAATAAATTACTGTATTCACTTTTAACAGAAAAATGTTTTTAAGTTCGATTTGACTGTACTCTATTCAATATCGAGTCTATAGAGAGAGAGATCTTAACTGATCAAGTATTTGGAACATATATGAAGCCATTTAAAGCATAAATACGAAGAAATGGTGCTTCATATGTTCCACAATCACTACGAAACTCACTTTCCCAGCCGTAACCCTACTCCTATACAAGGGTTTCATTTTGAGGTATTGCCCCGTAACATTCTGAGTTTCCGGAGTTTCCCGAAACCCTTACGAAAGTCAAACCCAGACTTAAGAGAGCTAACCCGGTTTCGAGGCCAGGTTTGGTTTTGGATACCCGGTAAATTTCTTTTAAGTTTTGCCCTCTGGTGTTTATTTACAATAAACCAGTTCCTGAGCAGTTCAAATCGAGTACTGTAAAATTCTTAAATACTGTCTCCCCCCCCCCTTACATCTTTCGCACCTAGACTCAAACTAAGGTTGAAACTTCTGTATGCTAATTCCGTTTCTCAATCCTTTTTCTTCCCTCAGAGGATTAAATTTCTTCAACTATTTCTTAGTTTATTTCTTTTTATGGTGTTTGAATCATTAAACCGGATTGAAAATTTTTTCTAAGATAATAAATTGTTTTCATTAAGTTTAAAAGTTTACATAAAGTTTATAAGTTTTAGCTCAAGCAACAAACTCGACCTAATGTAGTGAGAACGTACTTGAAGAGCGGAAACTCCCCTGCTCGAACCTCTCCTCGCTCTTTCTAATGTCTTTTGTCAAATGTCTAAATTGTCCTTTTAGGTGTTGAGTCGGTACTACGCCTTATTCTTCCAAATCATGAACCTGATCAATCCTCAGCCAGAGGAGGAATACAACAACATGATGAAGAAGATATAGCTGGCAATGATACATTAGATTTCCTTGCTCCATTCAATAATAAATAATGTTTTCTTAATTCTTACAGTGTTTTTTCATTCTTTCATGGATTTGTTTAAAACAGTGTTAAAGAGCAGTTGGTTTTCAGAGGGTGAAGTAAATTTCAAAACTTGTAAAACTCGTGAACAGTCTATTGAAAGTTTGATAACTTGATTTCATCACCATGCAAGAGTTTTTCTAACACTTATCGGCACTGGTATAACAAAAACGACATTTAAGCTAGGCTACTGGGATATATTTCACAAGATACAATATTGTCCGACTATACCACTGTATGAGCTATTCAATATTTCAAATTCTTCAATTTGTAGCAGATTAATTACAAATTAGAAATTAAGGGCCACTAAAAATAGCGAAGTGTCCATTTGAAGTTTGTTTTTTGCATAATAACAAAAGTTACAGGGAGTCACCATCGAATATTTTTCGACGCAAGCCTATGGCCTCTTTCATTTTTCGCAAACACTTCCTTTAATTAAAAGAAAAATTGACCCAAAAAGATGCTAATATGAACAATTATTATTCCATGTCCAAGAGATCGATAGTTCTCTCGACATACCACCATATCAGATTAATTGTAAATTCACATAGAGTCAACATTTTACAGAGTGATAAGTGGCGAAATATATCAGTAAGAGTTTACTAGGTATGTTGTGTACAGTTTAGATTCTTATGAATTTTACTTGCAGTGACAACTAGAAAATTCTGAAATAGTAAGACGACTTTTAAATCAATTTATGACTTTAAATAGTCCATCAAGCATGGGACACAGCAACTGTACAGTGAAAGCAGTGGTGACATGGAAACGCATCAACACGGAAACGACTCAACACGGAAATGCCTCAAAAAAACAGAATCATAAAACTAATTTAATGTCGTCTTCTCTCAACTTAAAATTAAAAAGACTATATTCTACTGATTTTCACAGCCATGGCCGCAGCGCTCGGTCTCCTAGCCTGTTCTCAGCCTTCTTGTTTCTTTATCTACAGAATGTTCTGGAATCCTGGTTATCTCAAGAATTTAAAGATTTAACAAAGATTTCTCTTCTCTAGTGTCCGGTCATTCTGTACATATACCTCTCTAACCCCTGTATACTCAATACTTGTCATTTATACTAATTAAAGGAAATAAATCCACGGCATACATCTCATACATCTTATTTTGTAATCTTCAAAGTTCAGGAGTAAAATTTTAAAATGTTTTATATACTATTCAGAGATCCATGTAATCTTTTTTTTTATAGTTTTTAGTTACTGTGCTAAAGTGGCTTGTGAATTTCTTGCTTCAGAGGAGGAACATAAATTATCAGAATTAAACACTTGTCAAGCCAGGCAAAGGACGTGTTCGTCCTAGTATTTTTAGATTAATATGTTTCAAAGGTACCGTTGTGAATCGGGCTAATCACTGTTTTACAACGACAGTTTCATTAGAGAAACTATCAAGACATTTTCTTAAGCTTTTTACTTTCAGTATTCTTTGTAAAGCATACAATGGGATCCAGTTTTACCTAGGACCAAATTTAATTGCTTGGAGAGGTCACTGCACTATACCTAAAGCCGTTTCAAATCCTAAATCAACGATTTAAATCCTCATGAACCGTTAACCTTGAATCAGTAATTTGAACCGACGTATAGGTAGTTTAGAGACCCTCCTTTGTTGGGATATTTACATAATAGCTGTTAATGAAACTATTGTGTACTTTATCATTCTTTATCATTTCATCGTGAATTTCGTAATAAACGTGCTATAAAGTTAAATTAGCAGTACAGTATATAGCACGTTTGCTGTACAGTTAATTGATTGGTTCCTGGATTTTCTTAATATAAATTTAGGATATTTCCAAAATAATTTTTTCAATTGAAATCGACTTTATTTTTTTTACTTCTGCTTTGTTTCAAAGCGTATTTGATCTATAAAAATAACCATTGAAATAAGACAAGTACGCAAACGTTTCAAATAATTACCTATAACACTATTAGTTTGGCACGACGTGGTCACGTGCTATACAGTTTTTGGACTTAAATTTTCTCTGTGTCTCGAAGGTTCTCGCCTTTTTAAATTAAATGTTGTCCCTCTCTAAAGCTCTGAACAAAATTAAATCTAAAAAGACTTGAACCTTCTCGGTTTCTGTCCAACAATGCAACACTGCAAACCAAAATAACAGTGTTATGAAATCAATAACGCTAATTTGGACGGATTTTTAATTAAAAAAACACTACTGAAAATTTTCTAAAATGCATATGAACAGGATGCACTTGTTGTTAGTTTCACGTGATCCATATATGCGCATACTGCACTTTTTTGTCTTTTAATGTCATTGGATTTTTAACCTCATAGTCAACTTTTTCCACAGATTTCTAGTAATTGTGATTATGTTAATCATGATTCATGATCCCTGATAAAAGGTTACAAATACTGAATAAAAAAAGTAAGTAAAACAATGACACGCCAAACTATAGTATATTGAAGGATAGATTAGAATCTGATATGTTTTTATTTATTTCTTTTTATTAAAGAAATTTTGAGATTGAAAAGATCAAAAATCAAAAATGTGTTTTAATACTTATGAGCGTAATTTCAAATGACCCTTCATGCAAAGACGACAATGCCCGATTTACAATTCGGTACTCCTACCATACATATATTTCTATTAAATGGATTTACAGCGGTACCCATACATATATTTCTATTAAATGGATTTTGAATGAAAAGAATGATTAACCTCAATTATTTAGTGTTGATAATTATCCCCTCCCCCCACACACACAAAAATTACTTCATTTAAATTGCCAAATTAACTAATACAAAATCAACATTTAACACGAACAAATTTGTTACCTAATTGCTAACAAGATTTTAATAGATGAAAAGAAAGAAATGCAGGGTTACCTATAAAGAATGATCGACTGTGAAGACGACATAAAACTCTTAAAATATGACGACCCCAGCGTTGATTCAAGTTTGCTGCCTTGAATTTAGTTTAAATGGCTTTTTTCTGATTTAGCAAACAGAAACAAGTTTACAGATACAGAGAAGCACAATCGCTTCTAAAGTCTAATCCTTTGTTGGTAACCATGTATTAAAAGAAATTTATCAGTAGTTTCTAGCTCTTGGAAAGCTAAAATCTGTTTTCGAAGTAGATTGATATATTTAAACTGGGTAAAGAGGTTTAATTGAGCAAGAATCCTCCGTATTTAAGTTATGCAAACAATTGAAGTTGACCGCGTCGCGGTTCCTTTCTCTCCATGCTTATCCTCCCACCCGGAGCTTACCTGGAACCTGGAGAACTAGGAACCCGACAGTCGACCGTCTGCTTCGACTCAGGTCAGGTCAGAACAATATTCATTCTTTATCAAGGATTGGGAAATAAAAAGATAGAATTAAATTGATTTATCAAAACTATCCAAACCTGGATTGCAAGTAACCTCTGAACCTATTCATTTACTATTCTATTCGTTTTCTAGCTTTATTCTTGAATTAATAATTGTCTAAACCTAATTTTCTCAATCAAATATCCTAGCTGAACAGCTATTAATTTTTTTATTTATTATATTCTATATCTATTTATTTTCCGAATTAATTATCTTTGAACCCATTCATTTCTAACTAAATTGTCATCTGAATTTATTAATTTCTTGAATTCATTATTTTCTTAACCTAATACTTTCTTCTACAGGGTGTCCCACAAAACAAAACAGTTGGTAAATAGTTTAGAATGTCTTCTTCCATAATTTGTTAAGTTGTTCAATACCAAAAGACAATAATAAAATATATAGGAGTCTAATACAGTGTATGATAGGCGACATTAAAAACTATTTACCAACTGTCATGTTTCGTGGGACACCCTGTACTTCTAAACCTATTCATTTCATAACACAATTACAAATATTAATCATTTTCTGTCCCTCTAAAACTATTCCAATTCTTAAACATACTCATTTTCCTATCTCATTCGTTTTTAAACCTGCTAATTTGATTACCGTACTTTTCAGATCTTAATAATATATTTTTTCTAATCATAAGAAGCCTTCGCCAAAATCAAAAAGGGCAGACTAAGGATTCAGGATTCATTTTAGCTTTATTCGATGTTTATGCAAAGAGTGCTTGATACACGCCATCTTTTTAAAAGACAAAAGCCGAAGAAAAAGGCACCGAATTTTCAGGATTAGTAAAAAAGGTTTTCATCACCATAAAAATATCTTGAAACATTAAATGGAAATAAATAAAATTGATCGAATCATGATGATCTATACTCAACCTATTCCTAAAGCTCATTTCAAATAACAAAAATGTATGTTTGATAAACGAAAAAATAAATTAAGTCTTATCAACCCCAGGCCTGTTTGATTTTTCTCGACTATTTCTAAATATTTTGATTTTCTAAAGTTTCTCGATAAATCTCCGAGCCACAACCAAAGACTACTTATTCAAAGATTATTAAAAGCTCAAAAAAGAATTATTGTCAATCATTTCCGTAACTTTTTTTTAACAAGCTGTCGTTATGCCCGATTCACAACCCTTAAAACCTTTCAACGACATTTTTTCTCCAATGTTTCCACAGCAGAAATCTTTAAGTTCCTTATGTTGTTAAAAACCATGCATTCTTGATTAGACATATAGGCTTAATCAAGGTTATAATGCAAGGAAAGTTATTTCAGAGGTGTAACCATCTTTTGCACTGCAGTGTGCTGTCTCTGGGCGGTAATGTAAATACAAGACGGATGTTGAAGCTTGACATGGGATCCATCTTTCACATAAAAAATCAATTAAATATTCTGGTCATAGAAAACTATTATGTGAATTATCAAAATTATCAAAATTTAATGCTTTTAACTTCCTGGGATACTAAACAAACACTGATGCATCTATTCTTGTTTACAAATTCCGCCCAGAGAGAACTGGTTTCAATATGTACGCAGAGTATACGCAAGTGCAATTAACTTTCCTTGCATTATAACCTTGTGGTTAATGGGTACCCTTGTAAACCGAAAATGGCCCCCTGTACGAATGGAAATTCACATGAAATTGCGTCTTCAATCTCTAAAAATAAAATGTAAAATAAAAAAAACTGTTTTTAGCAAAAGAGTGCGAGCAGCTAGATCAAGACTATGGAGGCGATCAAGAAGAAGATGCAGGCCATGAAGGTGGAGAAGGACAACGCTTGTGACAGGTTAACTTGCACTTAAGACTGAAATCTAACATGTTTTCAATCATAACACCCCTTATTGAAGAGCTTCTGAGAAGAACAAAAACGTTTAACTTGTAACTTTTACTTTTCTCATTGTGCGTAAATCAAAGCTTGAGTATACTATGAGGTCACAAATTCGTACCAATAATATTGCACAAATTTAACCTTATCCTTCTGAGTACTTTGCTGTGCGACCATCCATACTGAACATAACAAATTTTAGAAAAAAAAAAGAAAAAAAAACTTTTCACCATCAGTAGTGTTTCGCGGGACACCCTGTATCAAGTAAAATTTGTTGGAAAAATCCAACTTTCAAAATTGATTGATCTTTGTCTTTCTTTAATTCTGGCCAACCATAATTGTTTAGAGCTTAATTGTAATATATTTTGATAAGATTATTAGCATGTCTTGTACAGTCTTTAACAAAAGTACTAAAAACTTGCTTTTTGCAATATTTATAAAATGAAATGTTTTAGATGCGATGCCTGTGAGGAGGCCAGCAAAGTTGCGAAGCTCAGGGCAGAGAAGGCAGAGGAGGAGGTACTTGAGCTCATGAACAAAGCTAGACAGCTTGAGACTGAGCTTGATGTTACTGCTGAGCGTCTCTCCCTGATCACCCTCCAACTGGAAGAGAAGGAGAAGTCCCTGATGGCCGCTGAGGCTGAGGTAAATGCCCTCAACAGACGAGTCCAGGGACTAGAGGAAGATCTCGAGAAGACTGAAGAGAAACTCCTGATCGCCAACCAGAAGCTGGACAAGGCTGCAACCGCAGCTGATGACTCCGAACGTATGAAGAAGGTTCTTCAGAATAAGGCCGAAGAGGATGAGAAGAGAATGGCACAACTTGAAGAACAGCTGAAGGATGCCAGAAACCAGGCCGAGGAAGCTGATAGAAAGTACGAGGAGGTTGCCAAGAAGCTCCAGCAATGTGAGACAGATCTCGAAAGGGCTGAGGAGAGAGCAGAGACCGGAGAGACCAAGATTATGGAGCTGGAGGAGGAGTTGAGAGTTGTTGCCAACAACTTGAAGTCCCTGGAGGTTGCTGAGGAGAAGGCAAACCAGAGAGAACAGTCCTACAAGGAACAGATCAAGACTCTGACCGCTAGACTGAAGCAGGCTGAGGCTAGAGCCGAGTTTGCTGAGAAGTCCGTACAAAAGCTGCAGAAGGAGGTAAGAAATAATGATAACAACATTTTACTGTACTCCAAACCAAAATTTGATACTATCAACTGGTATTGTGCAATTTGTGACAGCTTAAAGAAAGGCTTTAGGGATTGACCTTCCATTTATTTAGTGCCATGTCAGATTAACAACAGTAACCTTAAACGCATTTTCTAGTCAAGAATGTATTATAAATCTATCATCCTCGATCCTGGAAAATTGATTATTTTCAACTGTGGTTTCTCTTGAATGTGTCTTGCGCATGTCTCAGAACTGATGGAGAAAATTGTCAAAATTAAACACTTTTCAAGCTTAAAAAACAACGGTATCTTCCACATTATTAATCAGATAAAGGTTTAAAGGAACTTTTACTAAACCAAAAAAAGATGTCAGTATTTTGACAAAAGTGCAAATCAGTTGTGAACCTTTAATTGGAGAGTCATTTAGAATTACGGTGACAATTGCTTTAAATTAGAAAGAGAAAAGTTTTTAAGATATTTTTGAAGAATTTATTTGTTGAGCCCTGTAATGTGTAGTATGCTACGCAATGCATTCTATTCAGGACTGCTATGGATAAATTTGGGGAATTAAGGTGATAAGAGGGAGAGGAAGGGAGGTTCAGACAATTTGAAATATTTTAGCTATGTTAAAAGCTGCTCAAAATGTAGGATTCTAGCCAAGACAATGTTTAAACATAAAACAAATTCACATTTTAACATTTTATTTAAGAAAAATGTTAAAATGACACAGGTGCTCTGTGTTGTTTGTTTCACTTTCCATATTGTTGTAGAGGTTTTGGAATTTTGAGAGCAGTTTCTAATGAGCTGTTAAATTTTTAAAATATTTAAGTTATTAACTGAACTAGCAGTTTCTAACGTGCAGTTTACTGCTAGTAATTAACAGTATAACAACTTACTTAAATCACTATTCTATTTTATCTGAAAAGGGACAGTGGACGATATTTAAGGTGACCCTCCGTTTATAAAATAGCATATTCACAACATTATTGGAATAACAATGTTTTTCTTCCTTGAAAAGTTTGTAATTCTGCCAATTTCCTTCGCTGTCTCTGAATAGAGAAACCGCGATTGAAAATCTCAAATTTTCAGCCCTAAAAACAAGGCTATCTTATTCATTCTTAATCATAATTAAAAAGGTTAAAGGGTAATGTTGTGAATCGAACAACCCACTCTGTAGGGTCACATAAAATGAATGATAACTACAAGTCCTTTAACACTATTTTGACCTAATTATTGGCTCTATAGGTTGACAGACTAGAAGATGAGCTTGTCGGAGAGCAGGAGAAGTTCAAGGCAATCACTGAGGAGCTCGAGCAGACCTTTGCCGAGATGTCCGGATACTAAATTTTATCGTTTTTACATTCCCGTATTTTCTCCGTCTATTTTCGGAGATTTCTGGGAATTTCTTTTAGAATTCATTGCATTTCATTTTCTATCTTAGTCGTATAAAGCCACAAGAATTGCACAAAGTTGTACTTTTTATATTTAATCTATCTTTTCTATTTGAAATGTGCGATTGTTCAGTATTGTGATAACAGCGCAATATGCGCCCTCCTCTTACATTGTAATAAATATTCATGACCATTTATTTATTCATTTAATATTTCAAAATTTGTTGAAAATCGTCATAGTCAAGAGATACACAAAATTTGGTATTTAAGACAACAGATTTCAAATAGAGTATTTTCTCCTCCGATCAATTCCAACTTTTTACAATGCCGCGTTTGCCTTTCCCCGCTTTACGTCTTGATTTGTTGATTGATTCTCCGGCTTCGGCATCCATCTTTATTCTCTGACTAACGAGAGATTCAGCTGATTTCTGATTTCCCCAATCAGCTGGTCTGAAATATCATTTTTCAAACTCAAAGATCAAAATATTAGAAGAAGAGTGTATTTAGTCATTATCAAGAAAGGAAAGCTTTGTTTTAATCTTCCTGACAGAAACATCTCAACAACTGAGGAGAGTCAACCCAAACCGAAATATGTTTTTAAAAAATGTGGAACTAACATCTACTTCTTTTTAAGAAAAGCTTTCTACAGTTCGAGAACCAGAAAACTGTGGAATAGGAAGACGACATGAAAGTAATAATTAAGTGTATTTAATGTTGTTACATAGCAAAGAGTTTATTGGTAAAGTTCAAAATCAATTATTAAGTGAAATTGGTCTGTTTACACTGCTTATTTGCTGCGTCTCATGTTCATTTTACTGTTCTAAATCATAACTTGAGTCCTAAAGTCGTCTTTCTTTTATAAACTTTTCTGCTTCTCACTGTAGAGATTTAAACCCGGCAGTTCATCTAATATGAATTTTAAGATTAAAAAATATGCATCATCAGAAAATGGATCCTTAGGGGAAAAAATTTACTTTTGTCTAAATAAAGTAGACCAATTTAATTGTAAAACCATTATTATCAACAAATGTCAAATTTCTATTTTATTTTTAGCAAAGTATTAGTTCTAACTCTTTGGTCAATTTGTTGATTAAATTTCAAATATCTGACCATCTTTTCTATACTTACTCATAGATTTCTTGTTCCTCGGCGGTTTCCAAATTAGTTTGAGTTGATAACGCTGCAGTCCTGGAGGAGATAGATAGAACTTATTTAGTCAAATGGATTAAAGTCAGAGCTTTTGTGTTCTGAATCTCGGGTTCAAGCATTTATCTCCACTTTATGCAGACAGCAGACCTGGGGATTAATTTAATTCCTTTTGATATCCCTTGGTGATCATACCATGTTTGTGTATAAACCATGCGAACTTTTTATCGTGAAAAAATATACAAGGAAAAAAAATAAACAACCTTTTTTCAGTTAGTTGTTTACATATATCTCAGCTAGGGGGGGGGGGAGTAAGGAGAGAAAGGAAAAGAGGGAGTAGAAGGGAAAGGAGCGAAAAGAATGAGCAAGGAAGGGTCAGAATTTGGCTTAGTTTAGGGAGGCAAATGTTAAGAATAAACTATTTTGAAAGTTTCTCAGATTTTTGTATCACTTCCTGTAGAGATAACTTTATTTGAGGGATTAAGTACTGTAATGGAGAATCTTCATAATTGAATTGAAACTGTTATATTTGATCTCCCCTTGAGCTTGTTGGAGATAAAGGAGGAGAATTCTCTTCCATGGACAACGGAATTCTTTTTATTATCTTTCCATAAACCATTTCTAGATTATAATAATAAAAGTGTAAAAAAATTTAATTATGCCTAATAATACTAATAATACTACTACTAATAAGAATAATAATAATGATAATACTAATACTAATACTTATACTAATACTAATACTAATACTAATACTAATACTAATACTAATATTACACCCTGAACTAACGAGAGAAAGAAGCATTCGGTTTCTTTTATTTGAAATCAAACATGTTTTTGGCTATAACTCAACAGTCTTTAGACTTACAGATTTGTTTATTTTATATTTTTTCATTCATATGTATGCCAATAAAAAAGTATTTAAGATAAAAGGCTATAAAATTATGTAAAAGTGGCAATATTGTGATTAAAATTCACAGTTTTCTGAAATATTGACAGAACCGTTAAATCCACGTTAATAATAATAAAAATAATAATGAGAATGAGAATGAGAATGAGAATTATAATGACAATGATAATGACAATGATAATAAAAGTAATAATTGGTACCTAGATCAAGTATTTTCTTGTTGATATGATAAACTTCAAGTTCTTTACTAGTCATCTAAAATTAAATAAAAAATCTTTGTCTTGGGAAGTTTCCAAATTATTGAATTGACTTCTATGACAACATGTTATTTTAGACACAATTTTAACATGGTAGGTGACAGTAAACCTTTACTAAGTTATTGTGCTTAAAATATCAATTTTATAAATTTAGGTGATTTAACGTAGTTTTACATTTTACATTTTACATTTAGTTTTTGAAATACAGGGATTCTCTAGAAGCCTGTATTTTCATACTGTACTTGTTCTACCGGCCTGACAGTTGGGGTGTTACTTCAAATTAACAAGAGTTTTCAGAGATTAAGGATAACACATTAAACATTCCACTTGTCAAGGTACTATAAATGCAAGGAAAGTTAATTGCGGTCGTGTATACTCCGCGTACATATTGAAACCAGTTCTCTCTGGGCGTAATTTGTAAACAAGAATAGATGCATCAGTGTTCGTCTAGTATCCCAGGAGGATTATAGTAATTAAAGCAAATAATTTTGATAATTCACATAATAGTTTCCTAAGACCAGAATATTTTATAGATTATTTTTGTGAAAATAGATTCCGTGTCAGGCTGTGACATCCGTCTTGTGTTTACTTTTCCGCCCAAAGACAGTACTCTGTATTAGAAAAACTGCGTACACCTCTGAAATAACTTTCCTTGTATTATTGTCTTGCTCCTTGCTCTTTAAATTTTATATTTTTCTGCATTCTCTAAATTTTCTAAGTTTCAGAAATTCAAAATATTTTTGTTCGATTAAGAGGGTGAGTTATGATTAAAATATATTAGATTTTAATTTACGTGAAATTTACTTTTATTTGAGTCCGAATTTAATGAATTTGAGCCGTTTCTCAAATCCGCTTAAGAACGGTTTCAATTGAGCGTCGGCTTACATCTTCCAACATTGAATACAATTCTAAGCGGAAACAACCATAATTGAGCCGCGTCTCAAATTTAAGCCGTGGCTCAAAATCTTAAAATTCGGCCTCTGAATTTATAGATTATAAAATCACTTTTTTGTTGTATTGAATTCAAATCCTACGCATTTACCGTAGTTTCTGGTTTCTCCGGCACCAACCAGTCCTCCTCTTCTCTCTCCTCCTCCAGGAAGGAATCCTTAATGTCGTCGTATTTTGTTCCTTGTCTCAAAGATTTCGTCTTAAAGGAACTGTTATTGTAATTTCACGTGACCCTCCATTTAGAGAGGGTTTAATCTTAATTTACAGCGCTACCAATTTAAACATTTATCTAATCATAATGTGGAAGATATTGTCGTTTTTCTAGCATAAAAGTGATTAATTCTGACAACAGATATCCGTAAGTCACTTTTGAAGAGAAACCACAATCAGAAATAATCAAAGAGAATAGAATATATATTAGAGGAGAATTTAGAGAATCTCTCGGTATGAATTTTTTCAGTCCCTTTCAGCCTGAAAGGGAGTTCAAAGTGTACAAATCAAGTAAATGTTCACAAATTATATGCTGTAGAGTACATTATAATACAGTATGTTCCCTAGACTATCCATTTCAATTTCGAATATTTTAAAGCTGTTAAATAAACTTTTAAATGAATTAGGTGAATAAAAAACATCATTTGTTTATATTTATAACGGAAAATCATGTCGTTTGTAAAGTGAAAGACATAGAGTCTATGTGAAATGATCATTGGTCAATTATAAACCAGCCTATTTCATAATTTGGTTTTCTTTTAATACTAATTTTAGATTTTCTATAAAATGATATTCCAGGGCCCAAAAGGTTATATAGCATAAATATGTGAAGTACACCTGCAGTTTGGAAACAGTACAAAAAAATGGCCGTTTTACACTTTTTTCTATTAAATTCCCCTCTAATATATATTCTATTCTCTTTGGAAATAATACATAAATATTTCATTCATTCTTGATAAATCAGCTTTCAAGGGAACCGCTGTAAATCAGAAAAATTTGCATTTTTTACCGTTTTTCTTTTTCTCTTTTGCTCTTTTTGTTTCTTTTTCTTTGCTTCGATATAAGTTATTCTAGCAGTCACAGGTTTAACTTTTTGGTAATCCTGAAAAAAAATAGAAAAGGAAATTTCTTTGATAATTTCCTATAAAACCAGGAATTATATGGACCAAACAAATCTATTAATATTTTGATATTTAATATTTAACTTAGCTTTTAATGCTCTTTGTGCCTCTTTTTTAAATTTTGAAAGTCGAATTTTTTCCCCTAACAAAAAATTTTAATTTCGACTACCCATAAACCCTCTTTGGGGTCACGTCAGTTGCCACAAAAAATTGTGCTCGATCGGTGAAACCGTTGAGACGTTTATCATAAATAGAAAATGTAATCTAATTTTAAAAGCATTTTGTAAAGTTTTCCAGAACATTAAATTCACACCTCTTTTTATTTAAAATGATTCGAAAACCATTCAAAATTTTCTTTTCATTTTGAATGAATAAGAAGCAATATAAAACTAATTGAGTTCTTGTTCAGTTTGAATCCATTCTTTAATTTTTTCAGGTTTCCGAATCTCAATTTAGCATTAAATTTACAGAAAAATGTGGGTTTGTTTTGGGAGCGGTTTTTTCGATTTTCAAACTGCAAATTTAGGTATGCTTTAAGTATATCGTAAAAACAGAATTTGTGCTCAAAAAAATTGTCATTAAATAAAATTTTCTAAAATAGTTGCAACCTGATGGTGTAAACCTTTGATATTTCAAACTTCGACTGTTCGAGCTAGCAAGCAGAATTCAGGTTGCAAATATATTTGCGTATAAAGTCATGTCGTCGATCAAATACGAAATGCTTGAATTTTAAAATGATTTAGTATTCTATTTTATAGAAGTGAAAATTACTTGATTCAATAAAGTAAGTTCTTGGTTTATGAAATATATAATAATATTTTTTAAATTTACCGTTGCTGGCTTGAAATCAGATTCTTGTTCCTCTCTTTTCATCGGGAATAGAGCCTGGAGATTTAAACCATGTTAAAACCAGCTCTCAGATCGAAAACTATGAAAACATGGAAATTTTCCATACGTCCTCTCCCCCTTTAGGGAATTTAATGATTTATCATGATCATATTATCTTTCTCAAACATGTTTAAAGGGAGTATGTAAGGTAGTTGAACTGAGTATGTAGTGTTGTGGAAAACTCCTTTCGGATTCATTTAGTGATCTAAAAAAACTAATTCTGAAAACGTATTCACCCCCAAAGTAGAAGTTTTGAACGTCAAATTTGCGCTCAAACTCAGGATTTACAGATCTTTTAAAAGTTTAATATGTCTCAAATGAATCCGAAAGAAGTTTTCCAGAACACTGCATACTCAGTTCAAATACCTTACATAGCCGGTCACTCCCTTTAATAAACTAGAATAATGTGGGGAATGGTTTTTCCCATGCGACTTTTTAATTCTACTTTGTCTTATATTTTTCATGAATGTCTTTTTCGAAACATGTTTCCACATATAGTTGCTAAAATTATGTTGTTTTTAAATTACCATAAACCCTCGAACGGCTCTAGCCTTTTTTGACTTTTTTATATCCAAAAAAACAAACAAACAGACAAAGAAAGCCAAAATATATCATAATTGTATTCTTACCTGAAGCCTAAAACCTGTAATGCAATGCTGCAAACCATTCCTAAGATAGGGTAGGTTCATCCGAGAGGGCCTAAATACTTTATAATTAAAATATATATTTTTTCAATAGAATATCTTAAAATGACTCTTTTAACTAAAACCAATTTCTTGATTTGAAGCTTGTTAAAATAAGTTAAAAGGAAATTTGTTAGGTTATAAAAATAAATAATTGATAAATTTTAAGGATTTATAACTTATTATCATAAATTAATATTAATTAATTTCTTATTTATAATGAGATCCGAGGTTTCTGTAATGTTTTCTATTCCTCTGTTCGCATAAGTGTCTGGTTTGTGAAACTTGAAATAATAAATTTAAAATGATTTCATTTATTTTAAAATAATTCCTCAAAGTTTCTCTTTCCAAAAACTTGTGTTTAGATATTCAAAGTAACTTAATCAAAAATATAAGTTTAAGTATAATAATCCCATAATTTGTTTTCAACCTAAATTATTAACTTAACAAGGAACATTCAAAATAATTTTTAACATAAAGTGAAATTATTTATTAAAGAGTTTAAGTAGAAAACTTCAGTGAAGTAATCTACTCAGAAAACAAAACAAAGCAGTAGGGTAACCTACCCGTTTGAAAATATTCTTTCCAGAGATTCTTGTGTATTGGGTCGATAGATGTCAACTCTTGTAATATCAACATTTGATTTTATTGATAAAGTGATTTCCCAAAGGTTTTGTCCCAAGAGGTGACTTCCCAAGGGTATTTTCCCCATGTGGCAGGTTCCCAACTATGAAATTTACCAAGCAGCAATTTCCAAAGTCTGTCCTAGCCGTAGTGCTCGCCCCCCCCCTTTCCCTAGTTTGTGCTAGCCTCAGCGCTCTATACCCCCCCATTGCAGCATGCGGCGCCCCAAAAGGCCTAACCTAACCTTTGGGGAGTTGCCGCTTGGGAAATTGCACATTTGGGAATTTTCCACTTAGGAAAATACCTTTGGGACAATACCTAACATTGACTTAGCACCCCCACCCCCAAGAGTGACGTCAAATAAGCATTTTTTCTATCTCTCTTAGGAGACGACATTTTCCGTACATTAGAGCGCATCGAGAGTAACTCAGCTCATTACCTTTTTCATAAAATTTGTATCACTGTGAATTACATTCCCACGCGCGTGTTTTTAAATAAATCAAAAACCAGGTTACACATAGAACACTATAAAAGGAACTCAGTCCATGCCACAAACTCAGTTTATTTATCTCTATTTCTTTGCAACCCGAAGTCGTAAACCCACTTCTCAGGCAAATTTCTATATAAATTTTGCCAATTACTTCTTCAAAACAAAAGCCAACAAAAAGTTCTTTATAGTGCTAAAATGTTCATCTAAAGATCTACAGAAAAACATAATTAAGAAGAGCAGTAAAATCTAATCCCGAGGCGCTGCGACACTTCAAAGTCTTAAAAATTGATGAGACGTTAATAAGCAGGTTGAATCAGTTCCTTTGTCTCGCTACATGCAAATAATAAATGGCTAAACAATAACGAAATTGTGGGAGGTTATTATAAAAAGTTCTAAAAGACCAATACATTTTTTAATTAAGCAACGTTTTATCCTTTATTAACCCTATCTCTGCTGGGGTACTTGAAAACCAGGATATGCTGGGGGGGGGGGTCAATTTGACCCCCCTCTAAATCCCATGTTTTATGTCCAAATATGACAAATGATACATAATTGGAAAGCTCTTGTGCTTTACTTTTAGAATCTGCAAAAAAATTTTTAGGATTTCTCAAACTTTGAATTGATGAATTTGGCAGAACCACGGGAATGTTCTTAGTTTGTTTTGAAAATTTCCAGTTTAGTGGATTCCTATTGACTTCTGTATTTTCCAGACAAAATTGATAAAACTGCTGACTTGAAAGTTCTAAATCTCTTATTTATTGATAAAGAAGCTGATTTTTTTTTACCACAAACTATAATTTTAAAATTCCTATATCTTTGAAACCTGATGGTGTAAATACACATGGTCTACGACACAGTGTTGCAAAGATAAATATAAAATAGATAAAAAATTAGAGTTTGTGAAAAAAAACACATTTCCTTTGTTTCAATTTTATAACATGATAAAGGAAAACCCAGAGAGAGAAGCCCAAAGGAGTTATGCGCAGTCGGTGTATTACAGTCTCTGAGAGCCAATCTTCTATTTTAACTGTGAACATTTTCTCTTTGTATACATTAAAAAACAAAAAAAAATTTTGGATTTTCAAAATTCGAATTTTGACTGAGGCAAAAATTCAAAATTTTGATCATCTATAAATCTTCCCTGGGAACATGTGAGGTATCATAAAAAATGTGGGCCGTTTTGACGTTTATTGAACACAAACAAACAAACATCCACCCAGACAAGCATAGTATATTTTTTAATTACTTCATTTTATTTTTGTACTTTTAAAATTTAGTTAGTACGTCATGTTAGGTACTGCCGCTACGACTTCATTTATCCCCCCCTAAACGCCCGATTGACAACGGTACCCTGGAAATATTTGACTGAAAAGAATGAGGAAGATGTCGTCTTCTTTTCTTTCTGGGAGAAATATCCTTCTTTTTCTTTGCTGCATAATCCCGAAATCATTTATATTTAGATAAAAAACCATTTGTGCTTATGTATAGTTTCAAATGTTGTAAATCCTACATTTATGTGAACTGTCCCTTTAATTGTGACCTGTCTACACCTCAAATTATGTGCACTGTCCTTTTAATTGTGACCTGTCTACACTTGAAATTATGTGCACTGTCCCTTTAATTACGACCTGTCTACACTTGAAATTATGTGCACTGTCCCTTTAATTACGACCTGTCTACACTCTGTGTTTAAAACTGTAACAAAACCATTCTTGAGCCAAGGTCCAACCAGGGCCTAAATTATCAAATAAAATTATAAAAATCATCTAAAATAAGAATGTGATGGAAAGAAGTTGATTACTTATTTCAAAACCATTCTTCTAATCACCATATCTTTGCATCCTGATTTCATAGACCTAATTGATTGTTCAAACCGAAATTCTGTGAGATCTAAAAATCAGAAAGCAAAGACTTTAGTATTTATTTATTCATACAGAAAACTTGAAGTTTACAATTTTGTCCAAAAACATCAAAGTTAGAAAATGATATAGAAAGGGGTACACGTTTCATCACCGAATATATTTCATTAATATAATTTACAAAATTATATTTCAATATCAAATAGTTTTAAACTAAGATTAAATAAAGCTATCTTAGCCTTGCATTTTCTATAAAATTCTAATGAACATATTTCTTAAAAAAGAAGAAAAAAATTATTAAAAAAATAAGTGAATTCAGCAATATTTTCTAAAGAAATTCTTACTTTTGCAGGAGCATACGCCATATCCTTGTGCAGCGAATTTTGATAATAACCTTGAATATTATAATGTCATCTTTGAATTATATTATCAACACTATAGCGTGAAGAAAGATATATATAACATAAATATTCATATATCGTCTGTTATATATGACATCTCATACGAGATGGCAAGAGGAAACTCTTTAAAAATCAGTTAGAAATATGATTCAAACAAAAAAAAAAATTATTTTTTTGGAAACAGACATTGCACAAATTGTCGAAGGGAAGTTTTAAAAAATTGAAAATTAATTAATTAATTTAAATATTTGTCCTTTCATCTCTTGTCCAGATACGAGAACAATCCCTTGAACAAAATAATCACCGATCATATCTTTGATAATGTCTTCATCAATATGAGCTAAAGCATCAAAAGTATCCAGTAGAACCTCGCTGATAAAAGACCTGAAGAAAATGTAACAAAATTTAATTTTCTTATTCTTATATCTTAACAACCTGATGGTGTAGACCTTTGCTATTTAAAACTAGCAGAGTTCATAATTTGAAATACCAAAGTTCTTCAACATCAGGTTGGACAGATAACAAAGGATTAGAAGTTTAAGAGTTTGCAAAGATTGATCAGTTCCTTTACAACTAAATAATTTTCTTTAACTAAATTTCAAATATTTAGATTTTTTTATGTTTATACTAAATAATTAACCTGGAGGGGTAAAATGTTTGCAAAAAAAGAAGATATCTTGTAATCAGAATTCTCTCTGGAGGTTGATGAAAGATGGCAGAACTTTCTTTTTTCATTTCAACATCTTTCTTTTTCTCTTGAGAGTGAAAGTGATTTTCTACAAAAGGTACAACCCAGGCACATTTCCCTTTCTGAGATTGTCCTGTCAGTTTTCCAGCTAAAATAAAAATAACTAAAATGAAGCTTATAGAGACTTTCTTTGTACTTTCAAGTGATCTTCCGTTTAAAAAATGTCAGATTCAGAATGGTAGCCTTTAAACCTTAATATGATCAATATTGTGAATAAAGCAAGTGTTCAAATCTGACAATTTTCTCCAATTTTCTCCAATTTTCTGGTGCAGAAATGCCCAACTCACTTTCTTAAACAGCCACAATCACAAATAATCAATTTTCAAAAGGATAAATCTTTCATTGATCACTTAAAATTAAGTATAATACAGCAAGATGAAGAGCGCAGTAGTTTTTATTTCAAAAGATTTTTAGAAGAAGAAGAAAACAAATCTAGGAAATTAATCCCTAGTTTGCTGTTTCATGAATATTTAGTTTAAAAAAAGAAAGATTTATATATTTCTTAAAATATACTCGAATGAATGCTGAACAAATGTTGAAAATTAAGTTGCATTGTATAAAAGTTTCATCAAAATAAGGAAAATGGAAATAAGGTAATAAACTCTTAATTTGCCGCTTAATACCATTGTGCCAAATTTGATTCTTCTTCTATAACATAGATCCAGGCTGCTTTGAAAAGTTGTATTAATTTTCAAGACCGGATCAACTTTGAAGTGTCAACACACCTTGGCCTTTAATTTTACCTCAATACCGCATTTAGATTTTTTGTAGCTCTAGATATGTACATTTTAAAACTATACAGAATTTTTTTTTAACTTCAGTATTTATCAAGTAACTGGCATAATTCTCATAGATATTTTTCGCAGGAGCTTGCAACCTTTGAATTGCTGTAAGGGTTTACCAAAATAAAGGAATGCTGTATATCCTCAAATTCGAAAGTTGTCAGAGTGAATATTGAGATTCTGTAAACTTTGTTAAACATTCTATTCTTAACTCTATTCCTGCTAGGGGGGGGGGTCAATTTGACCCCCCCCCTAGTTTTTTACATAACTCAAAAAGTATTGGTCTAAGGGTGTTGAAATTTTCTGACTTTTCTTGAATACCCTTAGCCCTCCCATTAAGTCTAAAACCGGGCTTTTATACTAACTGCCTGAGTCATCAGGCACACTGCCTGAATGACTAATTTTTCCTGTAACAAACTAAATCTTGGTCTTGACCCACTTTCAGATGTTAGATTTTGATAACTTATAGCTCTTTCGAAAGCCACTAACATAAGGAAACGGATTGCGCAAGTTTTGCAAAGAAAGTTTTTTGCAGATTAAGTAGAGCATAAGAGCTTTCCAATTATGTATCATTTGTCATATTTGGATATTAAACATGGAATTTAGAGGGGGAGGGGTGTCAAAATGACCACCCCCTCCCAGCGTGTATTGGTTTTCAAGTACCCCAGCAGGGATAGGGTTAAAATACGGCGGAATAAGCAAAACTAATAACAGAGTTTCTAGGCTAATATATACATCTAACAAAAATATGATAAATGTACAGGGTTTTTGGTGTTCTTAAGTGCATCTAGTGCTAGTGCATGGAGGTTCACTTAAAATCTCGCTTAGCGTCCCTAAAAGTCTAATTTTTTGTAATTTATTGTAATTTTTCTTCATGAGTGGCTTGCTAATTTTTGCAACAAAAAGAAAAAAAAAGTTCTCGCTTTTGCTAATTCTTTTATTTGTAAGCATGATGAGTACCTTTTTATTTAGTTTAGTATCAGATTTATCAGTTTATGATAATACTGATAATTCTGTTATCCTGTATACTCTTTTATCTTCATCATGCTATTCAGAATAAATTACTTCAAATATATTTTATAAAACATGAATATCTTTTTGCATAATTTAGGGGTAAAGACTTCATTGGAACTTGTTTTAACGTAAAAATAAAACCCTTCATGAAAATTCCGTGGGTCATTTTTTGTAATAGAATTTAAGTAATCAAGATTGTTTGCACTGTACAGTATACAGTGTATAGTGTACAGTGTACAGTATACAGTGTACAGTGTACAGTGCAGTATACAGTGTACAATGCAGTATACAGTGTACAGTATACAGTGTACAGTGTACAGTGTACAGTATACAGTGTACAGTGTACAGCGCAGTATACAATGTACAGTGTACAGTGTACAGTGTACAGTGTACAGTGTACAGTATACAGTGTATAGTGTACAGTGTACAGTATACAGTGCACAGTATACAGTGTACAGTGTACAGTATACAGTGTACAGTATACAGTGTACAGTGTACAGTGTACAGTGCAGTATACAGTGTACAGTGTACAGCGTACAGTGTACAGTGTACAGTGTACATTGTACAGTGTACAGTGTACAGTGTACATTATACAGTGTACAGTGTACAGTATACAGTGTACAGTGTACAGTGTACAGTGTACAGTGCACATGTCTTGACCAAGAAATATATAGTTCCTTGGTCTTGACTAGCACAGAGCCGACAAATTAAGAGAGTATTCTTAACCGAGTTAACCGAACCTCAAGTTTTTTCTTTTTGGGGTTCTTGGTTTCTGCAAAACCGCCTGGCCCCATTATTGTACGTGTATTGTTTATTATAAACTTTCTCTGATTCGAATTTTATCATTTTGAAATCTATTTGAACCACTGTTTCATCAAACCTTTCAATAAAAGTTTGATTTGAAGCTCCATTTCCAATTTCTCTGATGCGTTTAAATCCTGTAAGTAAACAGCAGCACATTGTTTATTTCTTTAAAGGAGAGATTAAAGTTTGCAGCAGCATATTAATGTCCCTCCGGTGGAGGCCTTCGGAGGTAAATTCACTTATGCGGAGGGGTTAAAAGTTTTAATTCAATCAATCGGAGGGACTAATAGACCCTCAAAACACTAATTACCCCATCGGAGGGATGCTAATTTACACATGGGAAACCAATTACTTCCTCCAAATTACCATCGGATACGGAGACCATGTGTCTCCTTCGATCTTAAGTAATTTATACGGCCACATGACAACCAATGAAGTTAAAAATGCAATTAAATTAAAATTGTCAATGCCTTAGCTGAAAATAATTTACTCCACTGCACTAAAGGGAATCTAATATGCTGCTGAACTTTAATTTCTTTTAAAACTGAATAATTCAAATAAAAAGTCAATAACTGTTTTTGTTTAAATCTAAAAAATTGCCAAAATTGTCAAATTCAGACATTTATAAAATCAATGTTTTTGTTTCCTGGGAACTAGATTTTAAGATTTCCCTGATGATGGTTTCTGTAAGGATTAGGATTAAGATTAAAATCGGATGTTTTAGTGTGGATATCGTTAATATTGAACGCTTGATCTCCAATTCCGGTATGGGCACTTTCAAATTTGAGAATCAATGACTGATCCTTAAACTAATTATCATTAAAAAATGAAATTTAGCTGTAGATCTGCTTAAGCTGAAGATCCAAAGCTTTATCCAAAGTTTACAACAAAAAAGTTCTGACTTCTGGAAATTTACTTTTTGACATAATTGTGTTCCAAGTTTCCAATATTTGTAAAGGATAGTCGAAATTTGAGTTTGTGGCAAAAACTCAGATCCTCTTGAAAATTACCTTCTATACTCTTGAAAGGAGAAAAAATACAAATAATAACATTGACTTCTAAAAAAATGACGCCCCGCATTTTTGCAACTGAGCTTTTTTCTTTTTAATTTGCCACTAGTGGAAGGAATTCTGGAAGTTTTGCGGCGCAAATGTCATTTCGTTTGGCTCAAGTGGCCGAGCATAGAGATTTTAACTCCTTTCCCTTTAAAAACCTGCAAAAACAGTTTTTATCTTTTAATAAATTTGTGAGAAATCACTGAACTACCCAACACCGGTTCAACTACTTATCTAGTGCTGAAAGGATTAGATCCTGGATCATCGATTCAAAGTTCAAGTAAAAGATTCGTGGTTGAAATGCCTCTACATATAGTTCAACGATTTTTGCAATTTATTAAATTAGGTCTCAGACAGAAAAAAATATCTCCTTAAAAATTTCTCAGAAAAAGTTATAAAATTTGAGATTATTATAAAAATATAAAAATCATTTATTTTTATAATCAATTAATCCTTCCTTGCATTGTAGAGAATTCAAGGAAAGCGGAACCAGTTTGGGAAAATCTTGCTGAACGATCAATCTGGTGATTTTCGAGGAGCAAATCCCACAGCTTTGCTCAACACATTGTCCAGGTGTTTCAGATATTTTTATACAATAAATCAAGACATAGAAATTTAGTCTTTGCCACATACTATAACGACGTAGACCTCAGATTGTTCTATGAACAATGTTAGATCAAATAATCTAAGTTTAAAATGTTAAAGTTTTACACCATCAGATGACAAAGATAGGGATTAGAGTTTGTGGCAAAGACTCAATTCCTTTTATTATTATTTGATTTTGTTCTCGCGGAAAAAATGTTTTCTAAAACTTTCCTGTGTTCGTAGTATTGGGGGAAAAGGTAGACATCGGAATTTGAAGCCTACAATTTTTAAATACAAGATTTAATTTGACATGTTAATAAAATTTGCAAGTGGGACTTTTTTAAAAGATTTCGTCTCCTTCAGGGACGGAAATTAAGCTAATCTTTCTTTAATTAGATTTTGGTTGACATAACTATAAGTAAGTTATGTTAAATCAATATTTCTCTCAAATAGGAAGACATTATAGACACATCTTTGCAGTCTTTTACCCTTTTCATTGAATAAACTCTAGCAGACATAATAATATTATTGCTTTTGAAATTAGGTATTACAATGCTAATTCATAACAAAGACGATATCGAATTCGTCACTGAATTCCCATGTTTTTTTGGGACACCCTGTATATATTCCCATGTTTATTGGGACACCCTGTCTGCAATGTTTATTAGATTGTATATTTTTACCTGTAATCAAATCAATAAGATGATGAGATGGTAGATTGAGCTCATTTGCTTTACAAATTAAAAACTAATAATTAGAACAAAAATTAATATAGTTTAACCTAGAACTTGGGACTTAGGAGACATCGAAGAATTTGTAAAATGTCGTCTTGACATTTTTTCAATGGGTTTATACTATTATACAGGGTGTCCCACGAAACATGACAGTTGGTGAATAGTTTAAAATGGGATCTTCCATAATTTGATAAGTTGTTTGATAGTAAAAAGACTATGGTAAATTTGATTTCACAGTAAAATATATTTGAGTTAAATTCAGGTTTTTAAGAAATAAACTGCAAAAGTCTTAAATATCTAATATAGTATTTGGAAGAAGGCATTCTAAACTATTCACCAACTGTCATGTTTTGTGGGACACCCTGTGCGAAAACCTCGGCAATTTTAAAAATAAATAGATACTCAATAATTATCTTCGCTCATATATATTTGTTTGTATATATGGATATATGAGGGAACGTATAAAATGCCTTTTTTACTACGAAATGTGCACCCTTCAGAAGGTGGGTGGTGAGGATAGTAAAGGTCGGAGAATCTGAATGGCAACTACCCTGACTATAACCCCAACTACCTTCAGTTTTTAAAGAGACCCCATCCCCACTCTGTGATTATTCTTTGCGCATGTTAAATGATTCTCATTAAATCAATTGTTTTAAGCTTGTTTTAACACTTTCCGACTTTTACTAACCTCACCACCAACCTTCTGAAAAAAAACATTTTATTCATACAGACCTGTTGGTGCCCGGGGAGAATAAGATAAATTTCAACATTTTTTTTTCAAAAATAATTTTTTTTTCTAAATTCAATAAAAAAAACAATGGGCAACGCCGGGCACTTCAGCAGGTTCTGTAACAAAGAATAACTTTTCTCATTTAAATACACTTTGAAAATATGCTAAAACCTTTTATTCATCATGTTTAATGATATTTGATAATGCATAAATTATTCTTAAATTGAAAAGTTTTCCTCTAAATTTAATTCAACTACTTTTAAAACAAAATTTGAATTAACATTATCTAACAGATAGTCCAAATATTGCGAAAATGGCAATGTCCGATGTAAAACAATGTCCTTGAAACCTTTATTTGATTAAAATGTCGAATATCAGGGGCGTACTAGAGGTTTAGCCTAGGGGTTGAACTTTCAACAATTAAAGGGAGTGACCGGCTATGTAAGGTAGTTGAACTGAGTATGCAGTGTTGTGGAACACTTCTTTCGAATTCATTTGAGACATATTAAACTTTTAAATATCTGTAAATCCTGAGTTAGAGCGCAAATTCGACGTTCAAAACTCTTACTTTGGGGGTGGATAAAATGTAGAAAAAATTCTACAATAAACTACAGACGTCATGTATAGGAACATGTTGAGAAAATAAAAAAATTAATCTTATCATCAAAAATAAGTAATCTTTTTAACTTTTTAACGCACATTTTTGAAAGTTTGATCATTCATTAACCTTCCCTGGGGACACGTGAGGTCCCACACCAAATTTGGGCCCGATCGGTTCAGCCCTTTTGACGTTTATTGGATACAAACAAACAGACAGACAGACAAACGAAGTTTATATATAGATTAGGTCTCGGGGGGCATTTTAGGGGGTACACAGGGTTCCAGTTGAGGGGGGTCCTAGAGGGGGCCTAGGGGGCATGTCTAAGGGGTACACAGGGTTATTCCTCCCCCAGTACGCTCCTGAATATAATGCAATAGAAAATACAAAAAGTTTTCATTTAACGGGTGTAAGTTGGTTCCAAAAACTAGGGGTTTCAGCGAAATGAGGAAATCAATTCCCTATTTTTTTTCGCCGAAAATTTAGCATTTTGGCATTCCCTTAGTAGAAAAAAATTCTAAAATATATGGTTTTATTCTTAAAATTTCGAGTTAATCTGTTACGAAGAAAAGTACATGAAAAATAAACCAAAAACGAAGAAGGTGCAATGGTCCTTCCCCCTGGGATATCTAGAAAGATGACAATTACCCTGTGATAATTGAAGGACTGCAGTATAGTTTTGGTAAATTATATTGACCACAATATTTTTATTAAACTTTTGTATTATTGCAAATATCTTACTAAAACTTTCTTAAAACTGCAATTTAGTCAAGTGTTTATAATATTGCTTCATATCGACTTAAATATGCCAAGGTAAAAACTAAAAATATTTCAAAATTGCGATTTTTTTTCGGGTTTCGCAAAAATTTTGCACTTTTTTCACGAAACTGATTAATGTGAAATTTTGCGAAAAAAGCAAAAATTATTGCAATTTTTCACGAAATTATCGTATTTCCTTTTTTATACGAAATTCCGTATGGTTTTTGCCTCCAAAATTTCTTTTCGCGACAAAGTCACAAAACGCAAAAGTTTAAGAATTACGAAAGGAAATTTTCGCTTAATTTTACAATTTTTCGCGAATGTTTTTGTTTGATGAAACCCAAATTTATTGTGTGTTATGGGATAGTGAAATCTTTTTATGCACCTGGATATGTTTGTTATTTTCCTCCTTGCGCTTTTATTCAAAATATCAAAAAAATGTTTAAACTGTAGATTTTTAAAATATCAAAAAATGTTTAAACTGTAGATTTTTAAAATATCAAAAAATGTTTAAACTTTAGAATATTTAAAACATCAAAAAATGTTTAAACTGTAGAATATTTAAAATATCTAATAAATGAATAAATGAATAAATGAATAAATGAATAAATGAATAAATGAATAAATGAATAAATGAATAAATGAATAAAAATAAATGAATAAATGAATAAATGAATTGAATAAATGAATAAATAAATAAATGAATAAATGAAAAAATTAAAAAATGAATAAATGAATAAATGAATAAGTAAACTAACGCATAAATGAATAAATAAAGAGATGAAAAAGTAAATAAATGAATGAATGAAAAAATAAATAAATGAATAAACGAAAAAGTGGATAAACACATAAATGAAGAAATGAAGAAATAGATAATTAACAAATGAATATCTGAATGAATGATTAAATTATTAAATGAGGGGATGAATAAATGAATAAATGAATAAATAAATGAATATATGAATAATTGAATAAATGATTAAACGAATAAATGAATAAATGAATAAATGAATAAATGAGTAAATGAATAAATGAAAAAAGTAATAAATGAATACATGAAAGGATGAAGAAATGAAGAAATGAATAGATGTGTAAATGGATAAATTTTTAACTTTAATAATTTATTTTGGTTAAGGGGTGTGGATACAAGCTCACATATACAAATAAAACGATTAATCAATAAATCAATTTCCAGTTTATTATCAAGGTCTTTCTATTATTTAGTTTTGCTCAAGATCGATTAAAAGTTATATACCTCAACATTTTGTGTTGCGCCTTTGTTTTAAAAACTTGACGATGGGTAACCCTATAAACCATTATAACCCTATTCCGTATCTGTTTGTACAGGAGCCCGGAGAGCTCTTGATTTCTTGCGCTGAGGCTCTCCTCGCCTTCCATCAGAGATTCAATGTTCTTGGGGAAGGCAGACTTGTGGGATAGCAAGAAAGTCATCATACCTTGAGTTCTCTTAATCTCGTTATTTGCAATTTGTAAATCGCCATCAGTGGCGACTCCGAAGAGTGATGAGAAAAAAGTAGATCTTCTTGCTCGTTCGTTTTGTCACACTGAAGATAGTTAATCTTCTGTTTAAGAATACAACCGTGTTTCTTATATTGATATTTATTTGTTTTAGGGAGAGTTTGAATAAAGAATACATAAGAATATATAAAATATTACATCAACCAATGAAGTTCGAGTTTTTTCTTGTGATTTCGGTAGGATTCAAATTCAAGTGATTTTTGCTTTTCAGTATTAATATATATAAAGTTGTAATCTCTGTTTGTCTGTCTGTCGGTGTATTGCATTGTCTGGACATTTTCTGTATCTCCTGCAGCACTAAGTGGACACCCCGCGCTATCTGGATATAAACATAGCGCTGCCAAGGCAGTTTTCTCAAGTGCTGACAAAGTTCGCACACTGAAAGCTAATGAATTTTTTCGTTCGATAAAACATCTATCTATCTAATTATCTATCAATCTATCTTTCAATCTTCCTGTTGATCTATCTCCATAATCTTTCTTTCAAGGCAGTTTTCTCAAGTGCTGACAAAGTTCGCACAGAGAAAGACAATGAATTTTTTCGTTCGATAAAACATCTATCTATCTAATTATCTATCAATCTATCTTTCAATCTTCCTGTTGATCTATCTCCATAATCTTTCTTCGTATCTATTTATCAATCTATTTATCTACTTATCTATCAATCTATCTATCTATTATACTTTCATTATGACAGAAATTATAAAATATAATAAACTGATAATGTTTTAAATATACTATTACAATATCTAGTGTGATAAATATTAGTATACTTAAAACAAAATTATACTTTGAAGTATTATTCTACCAAATATACATTTAATACATTTTGTGAATGAATAATGAATAATGAATGGAAGACGCAGTTACAAAAGTTATAATATGTTTGTCATAAATATGTTTTTTATAAATACATTTGTCATAATACGATTTTTATAAACTACATTTTTCATAAATTACAAAAGTCGTAGATAACACAAGTCATAAGTTCCATTTGTCATAAATACGTTTTTTATAGTACACAAATCATACATTTTTCATAATTTATCCCATTTTAATTTTTAACATGTTTAAGAAAGTAAAAAATCCGGAATTTTTTAAAATCAAATCTGCTTAACTATCTTTTCTCAGAAATTGCATGCATGAACATGGATCGTCTTGTCAGATTTGAGAAAACATCAACAACAACAACAACAACAACAACAAGGTAAAATACTGTTTATGTTCCAGTAAGAGCTGCAACAAAAGGACTGTTACCCGAAAATCGACTGGAAATCTGGTATGTGACTCTTTCATCTTGTACCCCAGGATGATTATCTAAAGGCCTAGCCAGTGAACTTGTTAAGTCGGACAAATAGCCAATCTTGTATTACAAATATAATGTAAAAATACTTGAAAATATAACAGAAATAATATGAAAATATGATTATGTCTGATTACTTTACTATGAAAATCATATTTATGACAAAGGAAAATTATGACTTTTGTAATTTATGACTTATGAACTTTATGAAGAATGTAATTTATGACTTTTGTAATTATGACAAACGTATTATGAAAAACATATTTATGACAAAAGTATTATGACTTTTTTACTGCGCCGAATGGAAGGATGAATACGTAAATAATCGCACAAATTAATAAATAAGTAAGTAAATAAATGAATAAATGAATAAGAGATAGCTAAGTAAATAAATTAATGAATTGATAAATAAATCAATGAAAAGTTAAATAAGTATATAAACACATAAATGAATAAATGAATAAATGAGTAAATGAATACATGAATAAATGAATAAATGAATAAATGAATAAATGAATAAATGAATAAATGAATAAATGAATAAATGAATAAATGAATAAATGAATAAATGAATAAATGAATAAATGAATAAATGAATAAATAAATTAATGAATAAATGAATAAATTAACAAATAAACAAATGAATAATTAAATGAATGAATGAATAAATAAATAAATAAATAAATGAATAATGAATATTCCTGATGCTGAAAAATCTTGTGAAAAACTTGTCTCTGGCTCTGCATCAGCAGTTCCAACAGCTTAGGGTCACCCTGACCTGATGCTGCCACAAGCTGTTCATCAACAACCTCCTGAACACCAACCACAACATACTAAGCTAGTGTGGTGGGTCAAATATATGTCGGGTAATTTAAAGTTTGGCCGTGCCATCATAGTCCGGTTTCAATTCAAAATCCTCTGTGCAACACTGTTAAATGTCTATCTGTATTTATTTCCGTAAAATATCTTTATGTTTCTATCAATATAGAAAAATCTTTAAAGGGAGTGAAAGAGTAATGTCAAGTGACCCTACATCCAAAGATGTCAATGCCCGATTTACAACAGTTTTTTGAAACCTGTATCTGATGTATAATGTGGAAGATAGTGTCGTTTTTTTCTTGGGTTAAAAGTGTTTGATTCTGCATATTTAATATGGTTTTCTGGGCTCCAGTTCAAAGGTTAGAATTACAAAATTAAGGTAGAATGACAAAAGGTAGAAGATCACAAGGTAAAACATACAAAAGGTAGAATTAAGGAAGGTAGAAAGTTTAAAAGGTAGAATTTTACAATTTCAATGTTTCATCATTTTGGGTTAAAGTTGGTTAAGACAATTTCTTGGCTGTGGCCTCTAAAATATTGAATAATATGCTGTATCTCACCTAATTTTGGGGGCCGAACGTTGCGGTCTTGCAACTGAATAATGTTTTGTCTCTCACCTTCTTTTGGGTTAGGTTAGGTGAAGCCAAGTTATGGGCCGAGGGCCGCGACTAGAACAGGCTATTACAAAAAATTGCTAAATAAGAAGAGTGAAAAAGTCAGCTAAACTCAACATGTAAGATTTAAGAGGCCACAGCGCTCGGCGCCCTAGCCCATCCTAGCCGTAGTGTTCGGCCTAGAAATTATCTTCACCTTCCTTATCCCAACATAATTTAACATTTTGTAGTAGTCGACAATTTGTAGCAGTCAAAAAAATTTTTAAGGTGACTAACCGCTGGCGCTCCATTCTGAATTCAAGCAAGAAATGCAGTTTTATGATTTTTTCCATAAAGTTCCGCGGATTTTCCTGCAAAAATTGGAAAACTTTCTTGAATCTTAAAAACTGGAAAATTCTACCTTTTGTCATTTTACCTTTTAACTCAAGGGGTGAAACTAAGCGAGGGATGGAAATGAACAAGAGGCGGAACTGAACAAGGGGAGGAAGAGGAACTGATCAAAGAGCGAAACTGATCAAGGGATGGAACTGATCAAAAGGTGAAACGGATCAAGGTGTGTAATTCATAAAAAAGGAAAACTGGCCAAGGAGTGGAAACTTTTCAAGGGGGAACAAAACAATGTGGAGAACTGATCAAGGGGCCTGATCAATGATCTTGGAGGTGCCCTTGATCAAGGGATGAAACTGATTCAGGGTGGAACTGATCAAGGGGCCTGATCAATGCACTTGATCAAGGGATGAAACTGATTCAGGGTGGAGCTGATCAAGGGTTGAAACTAATCAAAAAGCAAACAACAATTACACTTCCACAATGTCTTCTAAACATAATACCTGTAGGTGTTCTAATGTCTGAATATTCGGTTTTTCCTTTTTACTCCAACTTTCATCGGAAATCTTCAAATTATCTTCATTTGGGTAAATGTACCTAGACAAGAAGTAAAGAGAAATATTGCTGTCTCATTTATATTTATTATTATTTCTATAACTCACGTTTTGATGAATTCCTCTCCAAGAATTGTTTCCATACTTTCAGCATTCTTTGCAGATTCAAAATTAGGTCTAAAAATTAATTGAATGGTAAAAAGAACGTTTAAAGTTTTAAACATGAATTATTTGTAAAAAAAGATAGTTGACTCTTCAATGCTTAAAATATATTCCATCATCAAATCGTTCTGAATAGGACTGGACTTTATAACATAAAGAAAAATTTACAAAAGACGATTATTTAGAAAATTAAAATTGTCATGATGAAACTGGATTTGGTGACTTGAAAAAAAACACACAAAAAGCAAGAAACAAAATATACGCCAAATTGGGTTCTAAAGATCCATATAAGGCAAAAATAAATTTTGTGATACAAGATTTGGCAAAGTTCCTTAAAAATTCGTTTTGATCCCTGGATTAAATAAAAGCAAATAGATTGTAGTTTTTCACGCATATTTAGTTGATATATAAATATGTTTTGTAAAAGGGTTTTAACTTTAATAATCTATTTTAATTAAATTTTACAATAATTTTGAATTTCAATAAGATATCAGATGGAAACATTTTGAGACTTGTTTTTCATTTTTCTTCTTGATCGTCCATTCCTCGTCCATCCTTCAATCATACTTTGGCATTTTGTAGAGGGTTAGAAGTGACATTTTACAAAAATAATTTTTCACTTTATTAAAGTTGTTTAGATTTGCAATACCCATTACCCCATTCCAAACCAGTAGAAAGTATTGTGAGTTTAAAGCTTGCAAAATTTTATTGTTTATTTGATAAAAATGACGCGCGGCATAAGGCACCAATATTTTGGAATCAGGTAATTACCGCTATAATTGAATGAATGATAGATGATAAATTTACATTGTGTAAACCGCCAAAATATTTCTATGGACAAGTTTTCGGAAATGAAGTCCTACATTTTGGCACTTAAAAGTCCTGTGGAAAAAAGTTCTTAAAAAATAAGTTTTTGGAAATAAAGTCCTACCACTTTGAGACTTTATTTTTTAGGACTTTTTTCTGGTTCCAGTATGATTTTATTAAAAAAAAACGTCCTCGTAAAAAGTTCTATTTTAGTAGAAAATGCATGGGAACTATAGGATGTTTACAACCATGCAAAAAAGGGGGGATTGATACAGAAACACCCTTGGCAGCCACCATATTATTTTAGGAAAAAAAGTCACAGGAATCTAAAACTGAGGACTTTATTTCCAGTGAATTTTTGTCCTAGGACTTAAGAAAATTGGAACTTTTTTACTAAAGTTTTTATTTCCAGGTTTTTTTTCCAACAACTTTTTTCTGGTGATTTTTTTTACAGAGAATCGTACATTGTACACTGCACACTTCGTTGTGCATTGTGTTTATTGTACAGCTAGTGTACAATGTCATTTGTATATTGTATACTGTACATACTACAGTGTACACTGCATTTTATTTATTGTAAAGTATAATTCATTGTGTTTATTGTACAATGAACCGTGTACCAGTCCACTGTAATTTGTATATTGTATACTGTACAGTGTACACTGCATTGTATTTATTGTAAAGTATAATTCATCGTGTTTATTGTACAATGAACCATATACCACTGTAATTTGTATATTGTATACTGTACAGTGTATACTGTATATTGTATACTGTACAGTGTATACTGTATAGTGTATATTGCACACTGGCCAATCTATTTTGACTGTTGCATGTGCAGTGTACATTGTACAGTGTACACAGTAGACTGTTTTTATGTATTATACACAGAAGCGTAGTCACGGAGGTGAGGGGGTGCTATGGGTTTTTCAGGCCCTAACGGGTGTTCTTTCCCTGTTGAGACCCCTTTCTGCAAAGAACACATTTTTTTTAAGCCCTCCTGTTTACTTAACAATGTTTTTATTTACTGCATAACCGTGTCTATTGTAAACTTGGCAGTGTACAAATTACCTAAGCAATTGACCAAGTTGTGTACATATATTATGCAGAAGACGACTTGTTCCAGGATCTGAATTAAAACTCATTGCACAGCGTTGAGCCCATTCTTCCTCCTCAAGCCAGCTTAAAAGGATTGTTTAGATATTTAGGAAAGTATGGGAGCTACCATTAACAGTAAAAAAAGCTTTTTAACCATTTATTTGAAACCGATGAAATTGCAAAAAAAAATTAATTTCATATATTTGCAACTTTTTGCTCGGATTTTCTCTAAATAGAAAATATCGGGTACAATACATATTCCAGAGTTGACATGCATAAAGAACAGCTCCGAAATAAGTATTAATATTTTGTTCAAGCATTATCGACAAGGGCGCACACAGAAATAGATCTAGAGGGGTGCTAGGGTGCTATCCCCCCTGTGGACGCCCATGATAATCGATAAAAACTCCCGACCTCCCCCCTCCCCATGCTATGTCTGTAATAAATATCGGGTAACACAATATTCTTTAAACCTGAACTAGGTTATACATTATTAACTATCTACATTTATAAACTACTAAGTGAAACCTATTATTCATTTGAACTCCGTTTCAATTGAAAATGTTGCATGATCAGTTTAATCATGGGATATATATAATGATGTACATCTTAATTGCACCTATTATAACTGTGCTGTAAATACGTAACATGCCTGTCTTAATCATGTGATATAGATAACGACGCAGGAATTGTAATTTCGTCTATCAACTTTAACTTGTAACATATAAACCTCAAAAACATTAACTGATATAGAGACACCGATTTGATTGCTGCCGAGTGAGTAATTTGGTTCTCCTTGAAAAATGCGAGCTGAGATCGCCATAGAGAATAGAATATATATTAGAGGGGAATTTACTAGAAAAAAGTGTAAAACGGCCATTTTGTTGTACTAATGACGATGTTGCGGTGCGAATGTGCAACCTCTAAAAAGGTTAAAATTAACAGATCGAGACTAAAACAGTGGATTTTAAACTTACACAATATAGTTTATTTAAGATGAATAATTTGTCTGTTTTAAAATATATTTTTATTCTCTGACGAGCAAGCTGCTAAATTGTCTTTTTATTTAGCTGAAAGCTCATCAACCGAAATAGAAAGTAAATAAAAATACTTGAAATTGTGCTGAACCCTCTCAATTCACTTTCACACAAAAATAAAAATCTGTCCAATCCAAACGATTTATTTCGGACAGTACTAAACTTTTAAAATTCTATGAAGAAATTCCTCTTCTAAATGCCCCCCCCCTTTAGGGAAAGAGGGAGGGGGTACGTGCTCCAACCCCCCCTTCCAAATTAATTTTACCTTGTCTCTTCAAGGTTGGTCATCTTTATTCGACTAAATTATTTTCAATCTAATCATAGAAAGTTTAAAAACAAATGCGTTGAATACGGAACCTTTCAAAAAATATTTTGACACATCAAAAAAAACTATTGAGAAGTGGTTGCTTGGTTGCTTCTTGAAACCACATAATCTTTTAAGTTTCTTCTTATCTTTTTTACCTCTTCTCCAATAATCGATATTTTTGTTAAAAACATATTAATTATTTATAAAATAGTTCACTTCTGACCGGAATAGACAATGAAAATATATACATAGCTACCGGGGAATCAATATTTAAAATTCTCATTTACTATCTAGTATCTACAAAAATAAACTATTTTTGATTTTTTAAAAGTTGAGGCGATTTTCTCTTGTTTTAAATCTTAAAATGAACTTTATACATTTATCCTAAATTATTTTTATTGTTAAAGATTTATTCACACACAAAGCATGTCAAACTAAAGTAGAAAGTTCCATTAATAACTCTTTTAATTGAAGAGCTATATAGAAGAACAAAAATGTTTTGAATTTTTTATGTGTAATCGGACATATTTGAAAATGAAAACCTGAGGAGCTATCCCAAGCTATCCCTTCAAGCCTGAATACCACATATTACATCAAGTTGATTTCATCCTGACATTTAAGTTGCCATGACAAGTTGACATGCAATATTCTACTTCTATCTATCTATCTATCTATCTATCTATCTATCTATCTATCTATCTATCTATCTATCTATCTATCTATCTATCTATCTATCTATCTATCTATTTATCTATCTATCTGTTATTCTTTTTAAAGTTTAACCATCAGTTGAATCCAGATCTACACGCTATCTATCTGAGAGGAGTAAATTCTCTCCAAATAAATATTTATCCTAGAAATGTGAAAGCAAAACACTGCTTCGTGAAAAGCATGCCGCAAATAAGAATTATCTGTTCTTTTCAAGATTTTTAAGTTATTCATTTATAACTTTTATAATATTTGCGATTAGTTCTTTTCAATAAAAAATGTTTATTTATACGTTAAGTAGTACATTTTGTGTAGCATTTTACAATAGTTCACGATTTAGAAATGTTTGTTTAAACGTAGACGTAGACTAAATTTAGAGTGACCCTCTTTTAAAAAAAAAGAATGGTCTGTCGGATTCACAATTGAAAATCGATTTTAAAACTTTACAATTTTGATTAAGTCATGTATGCAAACAAAACTATTGAACTATTGAAGGGAGTGTTCGTGAAAAATAAAAGTGAGATTTTCCAATCAATTTCTGTTTATTTTTTCAGAATATTTAATAACATGACATGATGACGGAGATGACAAGACTACATAAAATAGAACTAGAATTTTAGGTAAGAATTTTTTTGCTTTTTTGCATTCTTAGATGTTAAAATTTGCGCCTCCCCTATCCTCCCCCCCATCCCATTTTACATTTTACATTTACATTTTACACCTTATATTTTATATTTTAATTTACGTTTCATCTTTAAATTTTATTTTACGTTTTACATTTTACATTTTTCATTTTACATTTTACATTTTACATTTTACATTTTACATTTTACATTTTTACATTCCAGACAGTTTGATGGAAAACTTCTACATTAGGAAGTAACAAGGTACAAATCTTTTTATTAAATATATATTTTTTTAACTTACAACTTTAGACTGAGAAAAAGCATTTGAGAATTTTTATTGTGAACGTAATTTCAAGAGACTATCCATTGAAAAAGTGGCATGTCCGATTGATAGCGGTACCCTTAACAGCTTAGCCTGATAAAAAATTAAATGGGTATCTATGCTTTTGTTTTTGAAAACTAGTTGTTTTCATTTGTGGTTTCTCTTTAAAGCTGACTTGCGTATTTTTTGCTTGAGAACATTTTGCAGAATTATTCACTTTTCGAGCTTTATTAATCAGATTATGGTTTCAAGGCTACTGTTGTGAATTGGGCATCTATCCTCTTTAGAATTAGGGTCACTTTAAAATTATAACGATAGTGTTATCAAAGTCAAAACTAGGCCGACATGTTAAAGTCAGGCCGGTACATGCCGCGAGTACAAGGTGTTGGTCCGGTTCGAATTTAAATTGACTCTAGTTCACCGTGTATAGATCTTCCTTGTTGGTTAGGAATCAAGATGGTTCAGAAGCTGAAGGGAATGGGATGTGGAGAGAGACTTATTTGTTTCACACTTTTTATCTGCCTAGCAGTCGCTGTAAGTAAAAACAAAATTGAAATAAAAATATCTTAAAAAAACAAAAAAGAGAGAAAAAATACAAATGCAGTGATAACCAGAAATCTACTTTCAGATTCAATCTATTACTCCTAAAAGTCCAATGAGCTTAGGATACAGCAATTGTGCAGTATAAACAGACCCATGAACTAAATTAGTGTCTAGTTGCTTTGTAGCAACATCAAAATTGCTATAATGTCGTATTATTAATCCATTTTTTTCTGTTTATCACTGTATGATTGATAGATGCATTGCCGCACTAGAAAGTTCAATCACTGGAACTCATTTTTTAATCTATATTTTTAAACCATTACAGGGCAACCACGTAGGGTATTAAATTATCAATTAATTTTTAGAAATATAGTTTTTTGGAGCTTTAAGAAACTCAATTTTGAGATCAAATTTTGCACTTGAATGACTCATAAAAAAGGCATTATTTTTTTTAAATTTTTAATCCAAACAATGTTTTGGTATTTTTAAAAATGTATTTAAGAATGAACTAGCTGGAGTGCCCAGCATTGCCCAGGTTTATATTAACATTCATTTATTTATTCATCCTTAGTCATAGTTACTTACTCCGTTTACCCACGCTTGGTATTAAATCATGATATCAGCGTTGCCCGTGGAATTTCAAAATTGTCACACCAATGTACCCATGGGTTTACTCAAAAATGTCCGACACTTTCGAATCAGCTGTTTTGCCAGTAGATATTTCTATTTCATTACACATTTTTTTCTTCTAAATTTTTGTTATGTCTTCTAACTGGGGTGTTCTGGGCAATGTACAGTTAACGGTGAAAGCTGTTAATTTTTATACCTAACCCAACCTGAACCTAAATACATAGAACCTTTCAGAAGATGTTATAATACCATCTAATGAAAGAATTTTGGTTTTCCATTAAAAAAAAATCATAATTTGTAATGTTGCATTTGGCAAAGAATTTAACAGATGTTATTACTAACCGAAAGTTTCCAAGGCTTAATTAATCTATTTATTTATTTATGTCGTCGTTTTATTCCTGATAAATTCTCTGGTGTTTTGTAATATCGGTGCAACGTTTTTAATTAATTTATTTTATAATCTATATTTCCAGATATGTGCCTGTACATAAAGAACTGGATGCTGGCTGGAATCCTGAATCAGTAATGTGTACATCAATACAGGTATTGTGCTACATTTATCTAATAAGAAGGGGAAAATTCATCAGGTGTACTGTCCTGGTTTTCCTTCTACAACTAAGCTAAGCTTTTGGTGTGCAAATGCACAATGCACTGGGCTTAAAGAAAAAATGTTTGTATTTTCATGATACTGAGACTAAGTTCCAGCCACGCCCCCTCTCTGGAACCACTAGCCCCACTGTCTTCATGCAGACAATATTGTGCACAATATATATGATAACCCCAATATATCATTCTCAACTGATGATTATCTTAAAACATATATATATTAGCTGCATAGATGAGAAAATCCCGTCCAGGGTACATGGGCACTGGACTGGGCAGGGCAGTCCGGGCCAACGCTGCATCCTTATGAATTTTCAAAGAAAAGATCCCTTTAAAACTGTTTAATCTAGAGGGAGGATGTAGATTGCACAGAGACGGACTGGATATCATGTTATGAATGGTGTATCTCGGATCCAGGTGGCCTATGTACAAGGGTCTGGGTGCAGGTACAGATTGCGTTTTTAAACTATGAATTCTGTCAGTTAAAATAGCCCAAGGTTAAAATATCAAAGGTTTTCTCCATCAGATTGTCTAAAAAATCAATTCCTTTGTCAAAACATTGCATAATTGAACAGTATTATCATTTTTTTTTACTATTTGTACCACTCCGGCCTCGAGCATACAATGAGAACTCAATATTAAATAATGATTTAATAGTTCTTAATAATGGTCGTTAAAAAAACTTCAAATGGTAAAAAGGAATTGTTGCTCAAAATATTTAAATATTTATAATATTTTTAAGGTTCGAGAGAATGGAACAAATATAGAACTATCACAATGTTCTCAGGTAATTAAAAATATAATGAAGAAACCATAATTTAAAAATGTCTTTGTGGGTTAACGTGGTGAAGTTTTTAATTAATTTAGTAAAAGTTGTAATTCACTTAGCATATATCATTGTCAATTCTGGTTCAATTTAAGTACCAGGATAAAATTTAACAAGCTAGAGCAGGCTATACAGTACATAAGGCAAAACGGGGCGGTACATAAAATGAACCAGTCCATTCTCTTCTAGTTATATGTCATTCTAACTCTTCTAACAGTTATTTTCTTTTTCTTTAGGGTGCTTCATATAGCACTCTTTCTAGTATTCTTTTAGTTTTTACTCTATCTGTTAGATTTTATTCCATATTATCTTCATATTTCGTTCAGCACTTTTTGTGAAATAAGGTTTTACGAAAATTTTGGTTCTAATCCAAATAAACCATTAATAGAGCAACTATAAATATCAAAGAACAAGCTATTAATTAAAGAATTGAATTTTATGTATCTAGGTGTTTGAGTACCGGTGTCCCACAATGTTGGATCCCCCTGCTAATAAGACTCTAAACTGTATGTATCTAGGTGTTTGAGTACCGGTGTCCCACAATGTTGGATCCCCCTGCTAATGAGACTCTAAACTGTAAGGATATAGATAATTATCAGTGTGCAGATTTATCCACAGTTTTACAGGTTAGTTGTGAAGATGAACGCACATTACTGACTAACATTAAATAATAATGATGAAGACCAAAGGGCAAGGGGGGCAGTGCCTCCCCCTAGACCTGTAAAGGGGGGCCTATCCCCCCCTAGAACTCAGAGCTATCACACTTTTCAAATATATAACTGAAGAGTGAAGAACATAAAAAAATTAGTTTGCTGTTTTTTTTGCTAGTTTTGTTTGAAGTAGAGATAAAGTAGTAATTGCAAGGTACGCCCTGGAATTCAAGACTTTCTAAAGATTGCATATTAAAGACCTACTATTTATAGGCACAGGCAACCCTGGGGAACTCTAGGGGTAAAAAAGGCAAAAGCAATCTTATTTTTTTCTACTCAGAATTTTTTTGTCAAAAATGTTCAAAGCTCCATGGGCAACCCCGGGCACTTTACTTAGTATTAAATAAGGATACAGAAAATGTGACTCAAATAAATTTGAATTCCATAAGTACAATGCAGGTTTATATATTGTAAAATGTTTTCTAAAATTTTCAACATTTGATTAAGCAAGCAAGACCTATGCTAGAAAGTTTGAACTCGATAATAGCCTTAGGTTATGTTTTGTTTACAGTATAGTGAAAACCATAGTGAAACATTAGGAAGAAGACTTTGCTTATTTGTTTTACCGTTTTTTTTGCGGTTCTCACTGCATCAATTCTAATTTGTTTCTTATTTAACAAATGACCAAAAGTATCTCTTGATATATTATTTTATTATTTTTGTTTCTAGTGTGCAGATGGTCTGTGCACCAATATAACCCTAATTTATAAATGTGAATACAAGGAGACAGGACTTCTCTACGACTGCAGGTTCATCTATATATATATATATAAAGTTGTAATCTCGGTTTGTCTGGGTGTTTGTTAGTTTGTCCAATCAAAACTCATGAACCCCTGCACCAATTTGCCTCAAAGTTTGATTTGGGGAACTCGGGAGAACCACAGGAATGTTCTTAGCACGGTGTTGAGATTCTATATTGAGTGGATCGACTTTTATACGTAAAAAATAGCTAAAATCGTAATTTACGACCAAGTGCGGGTAAACGGCTGAAGTCACTATGATTAATCTGGGCTACGGTGGGTTCCCAGGATTGTATCTTATAAAGGAACTAATATCCTTTCTCAAATATTATTTTATAATCCTTTATCATTGCAATATCATGTCGTATACATTTTTTATAATGATTTTATAAGATTAATGAATAGCTAATAGGTTATTTAGTTTACCCTCAAATCACCAAAATCATTCAAATTCAACAAAGCTGTTCAAACGTTTAATATCTCCGTCAATTTTAAAGATACAAAGAACGTACACCACATTTTGGAAGGCTTGAGACGTTCCTATATTTTAAGCCTCTTATAGTTGAATTTAAGTTAATATAAAACTTTAGCCATGTAAATTTTATTTATTGATCACTGCCGCATAACTTTTACTTTTTTATTTAGCAAAAATTGTCAAAATTTTGTGATTCAGTTATCATAGAAATTTTATTGTTATCATATTATAAAATGGATAACACGCTAGCATTTTAACATTTATAGTGTAGATATAAAGAATATCAAGGTGGTATAGAATACAAGGTAGGGGAGATTTGCGTTTCTGCGTAGTTTCTGCGTAACAACAATAACGCAGAAACTAGTTCCTCAGCAGTCCAAATATGTCAAATCATATCGCCCCCACCTTGTATTCTATACCACCTTGTAGAAAATGTCCAAGTAAATAAAGAAAAATGTGCTAAAACTTCCAAGTCATTGTTTAATATTGAGAAATAGATAAATTTAACAAGACAGTAAATTTATCCTGTAAAAGATCCTGAGCGGAAAACTTTAGAATTGTGGATATACAGATCAATGTTTATTGCTTAATCTCATCTTTTTATTAATCTCAAGATTTATTTAATCTCAAGATTTATTTAATCTTTACCTTGTCTCCTAAAAAGCCAATCAGAATCTGGGAAATTTGAAATTTTGCGCGCAATTTTACGAAATAACGCTCTTAGATCGAAATCTGGTATAGGACTATCTTTAAAAAGAGCAAATTAATCATGAAATTAAAGTGTCCACATTGGATATTTAGATTAAGAAATTGGGCTTAAACGTATCCAACTCTAAAGTTCCTAACTCTGTTAATTTTCATTTATATACAGTGTTAAGCATATATAATTAATGCAGTGTCGGTAACTGAACTGGTGATATAATACAATTTCATAACTTGATAATTGATATATATGCACCAACCACTCTTTATACTGTAGCATTTTAGAGCTGGATAATGTGTTGAAATATATGTCAGCCTCTGTATTACATCACCATTTCAGTAAACAATTTTGTATTAATGCCGAAGATTTATAACAATATAGATAAAGAAAAGACGACATATAGTGTTCTATCTGTTTTGTTATTAATTATTGATTAATACATATGCTGACCACGCTATTTTATTTATTTTTACTCTTCACTTAAAACTAGAATGAAGAAGGTCAAATTTACACGGCAACTCTGACACTAAGTAGCTCCACAAATTTTGATTTTAAGAACAGGATGAGAAAAAAATTCATATCAGAAGTTTGAAGCATGCGTACTTTACTTTGGTTTAATGTGTCTTAGAATATCCATGGAATTGTGAACGAAAATGTGATGGTCTTAAGCTGTCTGAAGGAGGAAGGTAGACTTTTAAGTTATCATTTAACACTAAACCTGCTTAGCACCTTAAATCCCTTCCCCCGCTCTTGTATCCTTGTATTCTATCTAGGAATGTTGTTCTGTTACAAGGATACACAAGTATCTTCTACTGTATTCATACTATCTAGGAATGTTGTTCTGTTACAAGGATACACAAGTATCTTCTACTGTATCCTTGTATACTATCTAGGAATGTTGTTCTGTTACAAGGATACACTAGTATCTTCTACTGTATCCATACTATCTAGGAATGTTGTTCTGTTACAAGAATACACAAGAATCTTCTACTGTATCCTTGTATACTATCTAAGAATGTTGTTCTGTTACAAGGATACACAAGTATCTTCTATCTACTGTATCCTTGTATACTATCTAGGAATGTTGTTCTGTTACAAGGGGATACACTAGTATCTGCTATATGTCAGGTATACTCATTTTACAGAATTACATACAAACAGACAAACAGAGTTTATAACTTTATAATAATAGATAACTTGTTAACAGTCGTCTTCCAATTTTACAGTTTTGTCCCACTGTATGATTTTCTAGACTGGAGAGGATGCAAAGAATGGTTTAACTGTTTGGGACACCTTCTATACTGGGCAGACATATGTTCTTTTTGCATCATGTACACAGATTCAGGTTATATATAGTCGTCGTCGCAAATATTAATACAATGAAGACAGCTTTCGAATTCAAGTTTGATTTATATCAAAATTTTGCACAGCACACATAAACAGGGAAACACGGAGATGTTGAATAAAAGAGCTTCTCTTTTACTACTTGTAAACTTGTAAGGCGAAAAAACATGTAAACAAGCAAAAACTTAATAATAAAGTTGTCTTTATTGTATTGATATAATCGCCGACCACTGTTTGTACTGTACTACATTTATTATTATCATTATCATATTGCTTTTGTTATTATTATTATTGTTATTAATATTATTTTTATTGTTTTGTAGCGACGCAAAGATAGGAGAGAAATAAATGTACAGTAGATATATATATATTCTAAAATACAATGAGATAAGGTATATGCACAGGATAACTATTTGGTTTGGTTGCTTGGTCCGGAAGTGGAAAACAACAATCTAGCTCCTCCACAGGGATCCCCCCAGCATCTTGAGAGATTGCAGAGAACTAAGATGCTTATCTATTCTTCTAGGGTTTCTCCTGGGTGAGGACTCAACTGGGGCTGGAGTTGAAAAATGAACCTTCTTCTTTGAACCTCTAGCAGTCAAATAAGTTGCACCAGAGGCACCAGAGGCACCAGAGGCACCAGAGGCACCAGAGGCATTGGATCCCAATGGAGCCGGAGGTTTCTGAGGCAATGAGGTCTACCACGGCGAGGGGGTTCCTGCTCTGTTACTGGGAACTTGGAGAGGACTGGTTTTAATCTATCCACAGACATGGAGTCAGTCTTGGAACCAACCTGGAAAGATAAATACTTTGGAGAATGAGAAACCGCCAGGTATGGACCTTTGTAGAGTGGAGAAAGTGGAGGTTTATATGCATCTTCTCTAACAAAATCATGGGTTGACCGTAGCAAACTTGGCGGAAATTGTACTTGAACTTGACATGGTGGAGCTAAGTTGTGATGAAGTGGAGCAACAGAAGGATTCTTTATGATAAGAAGGGAGCTCAGGGCTATCCAGGAACTCACAGCGTAGAACTAATGGAGAACCAAAAACAGCTTCAGAGGGTGAAATCGACGAATCTTCTCTTGGAACACTCTAGAGGTTGAGTAGAACCAGAGGTAGATGATGAAACCAATCAGACTCAGCTAGTCGAGCTCGGAGGGAAACCTTGAGCTGATGATGGAACCTCTCCACAATTCCTTAGACTGAGGTTGGAAAGAAGTAGTAGGAGAATTATTCCAAGGAACTTGCACAGTGAAGACCATACATAGCTTGTAAACTGTGCTCCACAGTCAGAGGAAAAGGCAGGGATCGGTTTCAGGAACTTGTAAGGATAGAGAATTCTTTGAAAATATAAGGTTTAAGGTAGTAGAATTGGCAGGAATCAAATTTAGAAAATCCCCACCATTTACTAGTTTCCTGAATGGGAACAGGGAGCTCTACACTGGCTAGCCTTGTCCCACCATTGGCAGGAGTAACAACAAACTCCAGTGGAACCAGATTTACTCCATGCATCTTCTGGTACTGAGACATGGCTGGAAGACCTGGGCACAGAACTGCAAGCTCCAGACTTCATGAACAAATTTTGGCGCCATTCCACGAGGGTCACTGATAGATTCAGAGAGCAAATATACATCAGGTGGGAGGCAGTCCATAAACAAGCTGCAAAAGAAAAAAGCTGGTTTCTCATCTTAGGGGAGGAGGACCAACATCTTGTCCATTAGCTCAGCGTAAGACTATAAAGGCAAACTCTGCAAGTCCTGCAGGGAGTACATCTGAATGAGGCGTCTCCATAAAGCCTCGTAAGGCTTGGTAGGAGGTTCTCGAACTAGGTCCAGGTCAACACAGTGAGTAAACTTAGTGCAGGAGAAAGTGATCCTCTTGTTTTCAAATTGAGCTTCTGCTTGGATTGATCATACCTCTTGAGAATTGGTCCAAAAGGATGGAAGTTTTACAGAAACCGTCGTCAAAGGGATCACTTCCTGTTTTTTTTCTGACATCTCGTCAATCGCTACTCAAATGCTGAAAATAAACCAGAACAGATTCTCGAAATCGCTAACCATACTATTTGGGTGTGAAAAACACAGGGACCTGGTTGAAACCAATTTCAGGTACGTCGGCGAGAGAAAATTTAAAGTCGTCAGTGACAAAATCACTTCAGGCCCAGGGTCACCAAAATGTAGCGACGAACAGAGACGAGAGAAAAAAACGTACAGTAGATATTTTGACTTCCAAAATACAACAAGATAAAGTATATGCAGAGAAAAGATTTTTGGTATGATTGCTTGGTCCGGAAGTTGAAGACAACAATCTAGGTCCTCCACAGTTTGCTTTTTCAAATTGTAGTCTTAATCATTTGTTTCCTTTTTACATTATGAATATAGCCCATTTTAATTTTATTTTAATAAACTAAAATCAAACTTTAGTTTGCAAATCTAAAAGGGCAGATAAAGAAAGATTATTGCCCATGTTTATTAGGACCCTGTACACAAGGTTATATTGTTTAGATAGATGAAGAAGATGGAAGAATACATGGTTATGATTGTATAAATGGGTCTGCTATACCTCAAGCTATTGTCCCACCTAGAGCTAATTATACTTTTCTTCAACACTTTTTTCAGACGTTAGAGCAAGGTAATTATTGGATTATGCTCCATAGTAAAGACGGAGCAAACTCTACTGGTAGAGCAAGGTAATTATTGGATCCTGGTCCATAGTAAGAACGGAGCAAACTCTACTGGTAGAGCAAGGTAATTATTGGACCATGGTCCATAGTAAAGACAGAGCAAACTCTAATGGTAGACCAAATAACTATAGGACCATGGTCCATAGTAAAGACGGAGCAAACTCTACTGGTAGAGCAAGGTAATTATTGGAACATGGTCCATAGTAAAGACGGAGAAAACTCTACTGGTAGAGCAAGGTAATTATTGGAACATGGTCCATAGTAAAGATGGAGCAAACTCTACTGGTAGAGCAAGGTAATTATTGGAACATGGTCCATGGTAAAGACGGAGAAAACTCTATTGGTAGAGCAAGGTAATTATTGGACCCTGGTCCATAGAAAGGTTGGAGCGATTTCTCTTCATAGAGCAAGGTAAATATTGGACCATGGTCCATAATAAGGACAGAGCAAACTTATCTTGTAGAAGAGCAATGTAAATATTGTACTATGTTCCGTAGCTAGACGGAGAAAATTCATCTGGTAGAGCAAAGTAAATATTGTACTATGGTCTGTAGTTAGACGGATCAAACTCATCTGGTAGAGCAAAGTAAATATTGTAATATGGTCCGTAGTTAGAAGGAAGAAACTCATCTGGTATAGCAAAGTAAATATTGTACTATGGTCCGTAGTTAGACGGAGCAAACCCATCTGGTATAGAAAAGTAAATATTGTAGTATGGTCTGTAGTTAGATGGAGCAAACTCATCTGGTATAGCAAAGTAAATATTGTACTATGGTCCGCAGTTAGACGGAACCAACTCATCTGGTATAGCAAATTTAAAATTCTATTTTACAATTTTATTTCTATTTTTAGAAAGGGGGGGGGGTTGCTCAGAGCTTCTTTAGATATTTTAGATATAAAAAGTAAATGTTTAGGTTTCCATGTTTTGTAATGTACAATAATACTGATTTTGTGGTTACCAGACACAGTGTAGAAGAGATACAACAATTTCTTATGGTAAGTTAATTTGTAATTAAACACAAGAGAATTGCACCTAACAACATAATCTAAAATTGGTTCAATCATAATAACTCCCTTCATTAAAAACTATTGGGAGGAACAGAATTTTTTTAAAATTTTAAATAGATAACCAGATAATTTTTCTGTTGTGTTTGTGTATCCACCATCCTTTACACCCAGCATTTTAATTTATCTCTCAATTGATGCCTCTGATCTCACCTTGCCACAGATCACCTGACGATCTCCTACCTTCCCATCAACTCCTCTGATCTCACCTTGCCACAGATACCCTGTCAATCTCCTACCTTCCCATCAACTCCTCTGATCTCACCCTGCCACAGATCACCTGACAATCTCCTACCTTCCCATCAACTCCTCTGATCTCGCCTTGCCACAGATCACATGACAATCTCCTACCTTCCCATCAACTCCTCTAATCTCACCTTGCCACAGATCACCTGACAATCTCAACTCCTCTGATCTCACCTTGCCACAGATCACCTGACAATCTCCTACCTTCCCATCAACTCCTCTGATCTCACCCTGCCACAGATCACCTGACAATCTCCTACCTTCCCATCAACTCCTCTGATCTCGCCTTGCCACAGATCACATGACAATCTCCTACCTTCCCATCAACTCCTCTGATCTCACCTTGCCACAGATCACATGACAATCTCCTACCTTCCCATCAACTCCTCTGATCTCACCTTGCCACAGATCACCTGACAATCTCCTACCTTCCCATCAACTCCTCTGATCTCACCCTGCCACAGATCACATGACAATCTCCTACCTTCCTATCAACTCCTTACCCATCCAAAAACATAATTTGATGTGTGTAACCATATTCATTATCGTTAACTAACTTAGGGCCAACCACTCAAAACACTGGTTAGGCGGGTCCAAACTGAATAGTAAATATTGATTGCTTATTTGTAATATCTCGAACATTGTAGGTGAATAAAAATATGAATGAATGAATGAATATTTTCATATTTTTGCGTATACAAATAGTGTTTCTTAATAGCTTTTCCAACCAATCAGGGTTGAGTCATGTGTTTAGTGTCTTTTCTAAGAAATTTCAACGGCGGAAACATCTATCTTTCTATCATCCAATTAGAGATGAATCTTTAAATCAGCCCTAAACAGTGAAACTACAGTGTTTCAGTAGATACACAAATTGTTTTTAAAAAATGGAGTCTTTGCAGCCCGATGGATATTGGATATTTCAAACTTAGATTATCTGATCTAACCAAATTTTTAGTTTTAAATATCTAATGGCTTTGCCATTTTGTTGCAAAGATGTAGGGATTAGCAAATCAGAACGACTCAATTCCATACCTGATACTTTTGTCCTTGGATAGCTGTAAAATATCAGAGACAAGATAATCTCTTTAAGTTATCTCTAAATTTTCATGTTTTGTGGGGCACCCTGTAAATTGTATTTCAGAGCTTTGTTTTTAATTTTATTGACTTCTTTTTTGTTAGAATGGGATAAAGAACAAACTTGACCCGACTAACCAGCATCTTCCGTTTGATTCAGATATTGTTATCATGAATAGAACAAAACTAAAGGTACAGTTTACCAAGGTTGTCAAAATAAAACCACGGCTTTTGGATATTGTTACCATAAAAAGTGGTATGAATAAAAGGAAATCTAAAGCCTTAAAACTGATGTTTAAAAATCTACAGAGTATAGGAAAAAATGTATTTACAAGTAAAAAATGAAAAAATAAAATGAATCATGGAAAGCCGGAGCTCTCTGACGGACTCTCAGCCTTTCATTCGCCTCGTACGACGAGTTAGTCTGAACTTTGGAGCAATCGGAAGAATTTTAAAAATGTAGTCTTGACAGTTTTTTATATGGTTTTATGCTATTTTACTTAACTCTCAGTACTTGTAAAAATAAATGAATAGCCATGAAATATGTGGGAACAGTTTTAAAGGGCTTCATATAATTATTCAAATTAAAACCTGCCAAAAAATACATAAATATTAACTTTAAAATTTAAATTTAGATAAATAACAACGGTTGTGTAAACACCCTTCAAGAGGAATGTAAAAGCTGGTCCCTGGTCCATAGTAAGGACGGAGCAAACTCTACTGGTAGAGCAAGGTAATTATTGGAACATGGTCCATAGTAAAGACGGAGCAAACTCTACTGCTAAAGCAAGGTAATTATTAGAACATGGTCCATAGTAAAGACAGAGCAAACTCTACTGGTAGAGCAAGGTAATTATTGGAACATGGTCCATAGTAAAGACGAAGCAAACTCTACTGCTAGAGCAAGGTAATTATTGGAACATGGTCCACAGTAAAAGCGGAGCAAACTCTACTGCTAGAGCAAGGTAATTATTGGAACATGGTCCATAGTAAGGGCGGAGCAAACTCTACTGGTAGAGCAAGGTAATTATTGGAACATGGTCCATGGTAAAGACGGAGCAAACTCTACTGGTAGAGCAAGGTAATTATTGGAACATGGTCCAAAGTAAAAACGGAGCAAACTCTACTGGTAGAGCAAGGTAATTATTGGATTATGCTCCATAGTAAAGACGGAGCAAACTCTACTGGTAGAGCAAGGTAATTATTGGATCCTGGTCCATAGTAAGAACGGAGCAAACTCTACTGGTAGAGCAAGGTAATTATTGGACCATGGTCCATAGTAAAGACAGAGCAAACTCTAATGGTAGACCAAATAACTATAGGACCATGGTCCATAGTAAAGACGGAGCAAACTCTACTGGTAGAGCAAGGTAATTATTGGAACATGGTCCATAGTAAAGACGGAGAAAACTCTACTGGTAGAGCAAGGTAATTATTGGAACATGGTCCATAGTAAAGATGGAGCAAACTCTACTGGTAGAGCAAGGTAATTATTGGAACATGGTCCATGGTAAAGACGGAGAAAACTCTATTGGTAGAGCAAGGTAATTATTGGACCCTGGTCCATAGAAAGGTTGGAGCGATTTCTCTTCATAGAGCAAGGTAAATATTGGACCATGGTCCATAATAAGGACAGAGCAAACTTATCTTGTAGAAGAGCAATGTAAATATTGTACTATGTTCCGTAGCTAGACGGAGAAAATTCATCTGGTAGAGCAAAGTAAATATTGTACTATGGTCTGTAGTTAGACGGATCAAACTCATCTGGTAGAGCAAAGTAAATATTGTAATATGGTCCGTAGTTAGAAGGAAGAAACTCATCTGGTATAGCAAAGTAAATATTGTACTATGGTCCGTAGTTAGACGGAGCAAACCCATCTGGTATAGAAAAGTAAATATTGTAGTATGGTCTGTAGTTAGATGGAGCAAACTCATCTGGTATAGCAAAGTAAATATTGTACTATGGTCCGCAGTTAGACGGAACCAACTCATCTGGTATAGCAAATTTAAAATTCTATTTTACAATTTTCTGACGCGAACGTCTTTTTGCGTTTTGCTAATTACTTATATTAAAACTAAAGCTAGGAGTTTTCAAAGAGAAAAACAGGGATATTATTCATTCTTTGTCGAACAAAGCTTTCAAGGTTCAAGGGTAAGTTTGTGAATCAGACATAAATAAGGGTTACTTACAAAAATTTGAAGGGAGTGTTCGCGAAAAATTATAGGGGGTATGGGCTTAATGCGATAAATAGGCGCTTTTGATCGCTACTAATCTTACTTCTATCTGTTGCGTCTATATGGAGAAAATTGATAAAAACGTCACATACCGAAGAGCGTAGCGCCCATACAAATTGAGGAAGTTGGAACATACGACTTGGATCGTAAAAAAAATCAAATTAATATCAAACAAATCATTCAGATATTACAACCTATGGTCATCGATTATCTTTCGCCACATTTGTATATAGTTGATTTTTCATAATATGTTTTAATTGTTATGATCTGAGAGTTACTTATAAAAACTTTATTCCTGTTTCGAGGATTTTTGGTAATGAAGACGACATTTTCATATTTTCCAGGAATGTTCGAAAACAAGTTGTAAGCTAATTATTATTTAAAAAAAAACAAAATCAAAACTAGTATGAATTATCAAATATATACAAATGTGGCGAAAGATAATCGATGACCATAGGTTGTAATATCTGAATGAATGACGTCTTTAACAATTTTCTCCTTATAGAAGCAACAGATAGAAGTAAGATTAGTAGCGATCAAAAGCGCTTTTTTATCGCATTAAGCCTATACCCCCTTTAATTTTTCGCGAACACTCCCTTTAATTGCCCTTTTTGTATTAAGTTTTTTTTTCTTGAATTGAAGCAATACTTAGAATTTTAAAACTTTTTTAGATGATGATCGCCATTCCTGTTGGTCTGTGGACAGCCTCATGTCTGTGTGTCTTTGTATTCTCTGTCTGTGTAAAAATAGACGACAAAGGACACTTCAGAGTAAGGGGAAAGCACAACACCGTATTCATCAAAACTGGATAGAATCACAGAAAGTATATAACTGGAGTTAAATGGATAGAATCACAGAAAGCATATAACTGGAGTTAAATGTAAATGTAAAGATGTAATTTCAAGTGAGCCTCCATTTTTAAGAACCCACATTCGAAAAAAAATCAATTTTTAGCTTGAAAAACTTGGATATAGGGCATTTGCACAATTTAATCCACCTCCTTTCCTCTCACATCATTTTGAAAATCTTCTTTTTGTCAAAAATAAAATTAGAAATTTTTTAATTCTTTATTGATGTCGTCTTTTATCTTCAACTTGGTGAAAACAGCACAAGTGCACAAAGGAATGAGCAGTTGCATGAATATTGCACATGTATGGCTTTATTTTCCTTTACTTTTATTTTGCATATAGTTCAAAGCGCCTAATGCTTATACCAAATATTATCATTAAAATACCATATATGCAAATCCCTTTTTTACAGAAAAGTCCTAAGTCCAATAAAATAAATACACGCCTGATTAACAACATGTAACTCAAAACCTATATCAGCGTAGCAATGAGGAAGATATTGTCGGGTTTTTTTGAAGAAAAAAATAATTATCAATTTTCTTTTCTTATTTCTGCTGAAAAAAATTCGCAATTATTTATTCGCAGAAAGAGCACATACGAATCGTCATTTTTAAGTGAAAAAAACACCCAAAACCCTTCAAATCGCAGGCGCGGTATGTTACAGGATTATTTGAAATTACGCGTACAATTTCTTAAAAACCCTTCAAATCGTATACGCAGTATAAACTATATACAGGGTTACCCACAAAGTATCAGACTTCAGAGACGACTGAAGGAATTTATACTGTCTGTTTCCAGACAGAAGACTTAATTTAGACTTGGGATCTCATATTAGAAGAGTTTTAAGTTGTCTGTAAACTTGGGATCTCATATTAGAAGAGTTTTAAGTTGTCTGTAAACTTGGGATCTCATATTAGAAGAGTTTTAAGTTGTCTGTAAACTTGGGATCTCATATTAGAAGAGTTTTAAGTTGTCTGTAAACTTGGGATCTNATTTCAGCTTAGTAGCTTTGGCAAAATTTTCACAAATTTTCACCATTTCCTGAAGACCTGTTCTGCTAGGAGAAAGCAGGATAATATCATCTGCATATACCCAGATGCCCATATAGACACCCTGGATTTGGCATCCAATAGTTGAACATCGTAATAGCTTGATAATTTTGTCAATGTAAATACAGAATAGCACAGGGGAAGAAACTGCTCCTTGTCTGACACCATTTTGTACATTGAAGGTATTTGAGAATGCATTACCCCATCTAACATTACATTTTTGATTTGAGTAAATGAACATTAAACACCTTAATGCTAGAGGTGAAACACCCCTCTCCAATAACTCTGTGAAGAGCACTTCCCATGACACAAGATCAAATGCCTTACTCAGATCCATTGCACAAGCATAAACTGCTCTACCAGCTCTGTTATAATAATCCACTACAGAGTTGACCCCCCAGCTGCACATTGTAGTACTGGCTAGCTTCTGAAACCCAAACTGAAGTTCATCTGTGGTCAGCTTATCAGAGTTTAGAATTAATATCAACCAGTCAAACCATTTTAGAATCAAGCTGCCAATGGCAATTGCCCTGTAATTGTCACTGATAGCAATGTCATCCAATAAAAAATCAATCTATAACGTATATTTTTCTTCAGATTTCCTCCCAAGCCAAGATTAAGGAAAGACCAATAACAAAACCGAAGCAAGTATATTTTCTACTTAAAAAAAAAACTGCATCAGCGTAATTTCAAGTGACACTCGTGCAATTCAAAGACGGCAATACCCGACCCACGAAGGTATTTTTGAAACCTTTATCTGATCATTAATATGGAAGTTTTTCTTATTTGTCGAGGTTTAAAGTGTTTATTTCTTTTATTTCCAAAATGTGTTCCTGCAGTAGAAATGCAGAAGTCACTTTTGTTGAAAAACAGTTTTCAAAATTATAAACATTTATATCTAAGCCGCCCTCCCATACTTGATCAGACAAAGCTTTTAAGGGTATACCATTGTTGATAGGGCTAATTGTCATCTTTGCAGGGAAGGTCACTTGCAATTACGCTTCCAGTCCCTTTAGAGAAGGGCTTGATTCTCATTTAGTAGTGAAGTTTAGTCAAAGTAATATTTTATTTTGTAGAAGTGCTTGGGATGATCCTATCCTAAAGAAAACCCAGAAGAAGACGCTCTTGAACAGGAACCATCTGAAGGAGGTGGAAGAGCAGGAGGAGGAGGAGGAGGGGGAGGGGGAGGGGGAGGAAGCATCTAAGCTTATTGAATCTAAAATGTGACCAACGGTGTTGAATTTGTAAATATTTCTGCTCCTTTGAACTAGTTTTTGTTAGATATTAAGTGAACTTTTTGAATTGCTCATTAAAGTTTAAAATAGAAAAATTTTACTGTTTTTATTGAATTTAATTTAAATATTTACCTGAAACATTTTTTACACGTTTCCCTTTAGTTTTAGAGCTTATGTCACAAAGAAAAGTAGCTTTTTGTTTTAAAAAGTTTTTAAATAGGAGGAAAATTCTTTAAAAATATTATTTATGAATAATATCATTGCACTAGATCGGAACTAAATTAGCATTTAATGTTATGGTAAATGCCCAATAAAAGGTTAGAAAACATGATAATTTCTTGATAAGCAGTACTTTCTGTCTAAATAACCGCAGCTCAGCAGCTCATGTTACCAGAAACCAGAATTTTATAATTTTCGTACATATCAAAAAAGTATTCATATATGTCTGTATAGAATTTAGTTATAAAGAATTGATTCTTTGCAACAAACTCAAATTTTCCAATCCTTATATTTTTGCAATCTGGGGGTGTAAACATTTGGTATTTCAAACTTAGATTATTTGATCCAGCAGAAATCATAGTTTGAAATATCTAATGTCTACGATATTGGGTTGCGAAGATAAAGGGATTCGAAAATAAGAGTTTGTGCAGCAAGAACTAGGTTCCGGTTACAAAATATACGACATCAGGTCAAATGATGATTTGACTATCTTAACTAAAAGTAATGCATCTTTTTAGACAGCTCTGACTAACTGTACAATGTACATGTAAAATTAGTTTTTATCATATATATTTTCTATATTAATTTATATCTTAGATATGGCAACAGGTTAAAGAAATGAGTTAGTAAATGTAACAGACCATTCATGTATCAAGGCGAAAAAAAATGAAAAAGCAATGATGTCGCTATATAGGTTTATCACAGAAAATATCTAAATACGTAAATATTTGTATTTAACCATCTTGATCGTCCTGTATCCAATCAGACTACTTTAGCGTCGTGTTGGTTTTCCTGCCATCATTGATACTCTGCTTGAAGTGGAAACGGTTGATATAGCGGCAGGTTTCACCCCACGACGAAGAGAATCTGTACTGCTAGTTGGTCCAAGAACTTTCTTAGCGCTGGCGGTTGTAGGTTTCATGAAACTCATTCCGGTGTTTTGAGCAACACGCCTTGTAGCAGGAAGTGTGCTAGAGCCTCGTGTTGTAGTGTTGTTACGAGCAGTGGCAGGGATAGAGCCTGAAGCCGTGACTCCGGTTTTTAGTGAGCCGTTACGTGACATACCATTGCTGTTAGTCACAGAGCTTCTTGAAGCACTTGAACTTGATCTACTCAGGTTCTCTTTAGAGCTTGTAGCTCTAGTAAATGTAGGTTTATTATTAGTGCCATTCCTCACATTATTGTTAAGATTTGTAGTAGGCCTGGTACTTCTTATTGATGAGGTTGTGGACGGTTTTGATGTGGTTCTAATCGTGGATGATATGGGTGTTCTACCAAGCTTGGGAGATTCCCTACCTGTAGAAGCTTTGTTAATAGATCTTGTTGAAGAGTTAATGCTAACACGGCTTCCACCATTTAAGTTGCTCATTGGTTTCCGATCAGATGAAGAGAACAATGTTTGACTGTTCCTTGGTCGAACAACTGTTGATGAATTGTCTGGTCCACTATCTTCCTTCCCCTTTCTCAGATTCTTTGATATATCTCGAATGATATTAAAAGTACCTTTGGATTTGTCTCCAGCATTGTTGGTAGATCTTACGGTTCCTCTTCCTGTTAGACTAGATGTTGATGCTCTTGTATCATTAGTTAAGCTAGGTCTAGAACTTGATAGACTAGTTCGACTTCCAGACTTCCCTCCTCCAGCTAATCGATCAAACACATTTGATCCTGATGTTTTAGGAGTATCACGAGGCGTTGATCCAGTTCTTGACAATCGTTCAATTAGTGAATTCCTACGATTGTCCGGCTTTTTAAGATCTTTAAGGGAGTGACCAGGCCTAATATTGCCTGAATCTGGTTCTGTTACCTCCTCCACATTTATTATGGGGACAGATGTCACATATTTACCATCCACTAAGGCTGAGTCATAGTCACCGGGCATTATATAAGAGCTTTTTCTATCTGAACTTAGTTTTGATTCTTGCCTACTGTTTGTTCTAGATTTAGAGTCAAGTCTATTCTTTGCTTCTCGTTCAAGTTCAACTCTGCTCTGTGTTCTGTTATTTCTATCTAATGAATTATTGGCTTCAGAGGTTATATTACTGTCCAGATTTAAGGGTTTTCGTCGAATGGGTTCCGACATTGGAGTGACTTGTCCCAAATATTCTCTCAGTTGCTGCCCTTTCTCCGCTTCAACAAAATCATATGAGTCTGAGCTTTTTCTAAACTTGTTGGCAATCTTAGCTCTCCAGTTATCTCCTTTCTGTTTTTTCTCTGAATCATCCAAACTGATTTCATCCTCTTCATTTTTCCTTCGTGTTGAGTTTCGTCCTAAAGTTTTCCGAGCAGAGGAAAATCTGTCAAACAATCCTGAACCCAAATCATCTTCAAGATCTGTTGCAGCTCTTCGTCCTTCTGACAAATCAGTGTTGGATTCCTTCTTTTTCTTGATCACAAGCTCTCTGTCTCCCAGGGGCTTACCATCTCCAGCCAAAGTTCTGAACTTGTGATTCTTTCTCCGACTGGCAAAGTCACTACCAATATCACTTTCATTATCATTGTCCTGGCTTGGAAGTCGCAAGCTTTTATGTCTGAATGCCCTTCTTTGAATTGGTGGTGTTTCAATATTCTCACTGTCTATGTTAAATGTATCCAATATTTCATCATCCTGAAGTGCATGTATGGTATCTGCTAGGTCAGTACAAGATCCAAGATTCTTTGCCAGTGTCTCCTTCAGGTGTTCCCTCAGGGTGTTAGGGGTGGTTGTACGGTTAAATGGGTATTTCTTAGGAATAATATCATCAACTTTTTTGCTTTTCTCATCGTTACCAAGTTTATCTAAGAAATCTGTTGGGACCTCCAATGACTTTCTTGCCATGTCTTCCAAAAACTGATTTTTCTTCCCAACATCCTTTTTCTCACGGAGTTTAACCGCATCTTCTGTTTTAGTGATATCATTGCTCCCCTTTCGGACATACAGAGACACCTTATCCTCAGAGGGTCGTCTGCCCAAGCTCCTGAAACAAAAAAATACTATAAAATTGTTCTCATTAGTCCAGTTAATCTTGGGAACGGCGCCTAACATTTACTTTTATCTCTACATAAATGTTTTTCTTTTAATTTATGAGTTCGCAAAAAATGCACACAAAACAGGTTTAACTGTGTTACACACCTACGCAAAAATTCCGACCTTTAGTATTTTTATCCAGCTGTTTCGTTATCAGACAATTGTAGCACATGGAAGATAAAATATATTTTTATTACGGAGTAATCACCTGATCAAAGCTTTCTTTCTTTCCTCTTCTTTCTGCCCTAGGGGAGGAGTCTTCTTACGGGACTGCTTGTCTTGCATGGACTCACCTGTATAGTTTATTTGTTTAATTATAATTAATTCAATTAATGCTTGATCATTTACTCATTAAGTTATTTATTCTTTAACTCATTTAATTATTGATTTATGCATTCCTTAATTAACTTATAAATTTGTTGAACTCTTAATAAATCAATTCATTAATTTATTAATTCATTGATTTATTAATGTATCAATTCAATTATTAATTAATTAATTCATTCATTAAATTTTACCTATTTATTTGTTCATCTAAAAGCATATTGTTAATTTGTTAATTTGTCATTTTATCACTAAACTTGTCAAATTAATTATAAAAAATTGTAAATTCACAAATATTTCATAAGACAATTCAATATAATTTAATAGTAAGGTTTTTTGGTTATTCATTAATCTATAATTTAATGAATAAGTTTTAATCAAAAAATTTGATAGTATTCAGTAAGAACAAAAAAAACTCTGGAATAGGAAAACGACTTTAAGACTCCATTTATTACTTTAAACAGTACAATGAACATGATATACAAAAAGTAAAAGTTAATATGTAAAACTTTTTGCTTTGTAACAACAGCAAATACAATTATAATTATTACTTTAAAGTCGTCTTCCTATAACCGCCGTTATTTGGTTCTATTTGAATATAATGATTTGATAACTAATCAAGTCTAAAGTAATCCAAATCTAGGCTTGGAAGGGCCTACACAATAATTGATCACAATTTGCCAGTCACTTCTTAAAAACTAAAAACAAGCTATAGTTCTAAGTTGTACATGTCTATGTACTATGTATATCGAGGTAAAATCACAAGCCAAGGCGCAACACTGTGAACTCGAAAATTTATGCAACTTTTATATCTCTACCCCCTCATTTCAAATTATCTACCCGGTCCCTTCAAGTTTTATATCTCCATCCCCTCATTTCAAATTATATACCCGGTCCCTTCAAGCTTTATATCTCCACCCCTCATTTCAAATTAGATACCCGGTCCCTTCAAGTTTTCAGGGATGGACACATTAAACTTCCGTTCCTTAACAAGTTAACGGAATTTTCGATTATCATAAACAATATTTCGTTCGTTAACGTAATTTTCCATTTTTCATCAAAAACCTCTCTTTGTTTACAGAATTGTCTGATTATTATCAAAACTTTTGCTTGTTTACCGAATTTTCCGGTTATTATTAAAAACCCCGCCCCTTTATTTACGGAATTTTCTGATTATTATTAAAACGTTTCCTTTGCTTGCAGAATTGTCTGATTATTATAAAACAATTTCTGTTCGTTAACGGAATTTTCCATAGATAAAGATAGATTGCGCATAAGACGACATTTTTTTTCTTGAAAGATATAAATGTACAGAGATTGTAAAGATATTCCTATTATAGTGATTTACTAGGTCGGTTGTGAACATTGGCTGTTGTTGTGTCATTGAGGACTTGTGGTGTACATGAGTTCTGTAGTGAGAAATTTAAGTTAGTTTAGTCCTTCTCATGCCCGTAGTAGATTGGAAAAGACCCAATCCGAATGTTATCTGCAACGAACATTTTCCTAGTTATACAAAAGTGAATGGGAAAAAGTTCAAAAGCTAAAGAAAATGTATGACGGAAACACGAGAGAAGGAAAAAATTCCTAAAATCAGAGTTATTCCCTCAAAGCTCAAAAAAGAAAACTCGACGAAAAAATTGGCAGTCTAGAATCTGTGATTGTCGAAATAAAAGACAAGTTCTCTTTACCAGAGGAAACTATAAACCTTCTTCACAGTTCAGTAAGTAAAATTCTGGAGGAGTTGTTTCAAAGAGTTAAAAAGGTTAAAATATGCAGATTGCAGAGATAAATACCATTGCAGCTCTCCGATCGTTTGCTTAGCAAGATTATTCTTGTGATTGTGGACTAAATTTTTTTTATCAAAAAAAGTTTGATGTCATTATGCACAACGTTTTTAAATCTAGGTTTATAGACTGTTTTTTATCATTTATGAAGCTTTGCCTCTTTGACTGTTTTTACAACTTGATGGTCTTTGATATTTAAAACGACATGAATTTGAGTTTTTGGCAAAAACTCTGATTCTCTATTAAATGTTCTTTATAGAGAGAGCAAAAAATTTTATCAAATAGGTATCTCTTTTTTGAAAAAATCAACCTGACACTTTTTGACTTTTAGAAAAGAGTAATTTTTTACAGAGCCGGAGTTGTCAAGGAAAAATTAAAAATACCTCAGAACTTAAAAATAATTGAGCTATGACCCTTAAATGTTCTACCTCACCCCCCCCCCACATAATTTGATATTCTCAAAATAAAATTCACTCCTGAGTGGTTTAATAATTATGAAATCCATTAAAACACCAAACAACCCCGCTTATCATTGAAGTACACTTTGACCCCATCGAAGTATGAGTTCGCGGACTGTACACTTCTTGGTGATTTTGCGTACATAAGCTATCTATGTTTATTTATTTATCTGTAGAATTTTCCGATTATCATCAAAATCTTCCGTTTTTTACAGAAAAGCCTAGTCCTTGTTATATGAAACTAGTCTGTCATTGTTTACCTTCTATAGCCTCCATGGCGCTGATAACATCTGTTTTTGCAACAATTGATCTCGCGTCCAGAGGTTTATCTTCATGCAGGGTGCCCAAACTTTTACCTAAAATAACTCCAGGATTTTATTTCACACTTTTGTGCAATCGTTCAAGAAGGAGCACAACAGTTCTCAACAAAATATTTAGAACTTACTCCAATCTAAGATAGAAAATACGAGAAAATTTTTTATCGGAAAACCTGGAAATCTGAACCAATCTGAAACTACGATTTCTCTTTCCAAAAATATCTTATGAAGATAAAAATGGTTCTGACTGAGTGACTGCTGACCTTTAGCTGATATCCTCTTTGGTTTATCAAAGAACACTTCTAAAATCAACAGTGAAACCCTAAATAAGCAATACAACGAAAGAATTCATCAAATGTCGTATTCTTCACTTAATAATTGAATGTTGTAGGTATTTAGTTTTTTAATTAAGTCATTATATGTACCTCTTTAAAACTGTTCCCGCATGTTCATTGCTATTTATTTATTTTCGCCAATACTGAGATTCACGTAAAATAGTATAAAACCCATTGAAAAATTGTCAAGACGACATCTGATAAATTCTTTCGATGTATGGCTCATTTAGGGTTTAACTGTAAGTCTTAAAAAAACTAACCGTTTCTAAGATCTGAGTTAGAACCTCTCAGAGTTAGAGTTTTCTTCTCTCTTTTTTTGTCCAAATATTCTCCAGCCTACAATAACAATAGTTTTCAAAATAAGAAAGCAATACATATTTTTTCTTGCAAGCTGTAGGAAATAAGAATTACCAAAAAAAAACAATGAAAGATAAAATCTTGTTTTAATCAAAATAAATTCCAGGCCCAAATAAAATTTTCATTCGTTTGTCCTATCTGTATACTCTCTTGTCCTATTTGCATAATTTCTTGTTCTATTTGTATAATCTCTTGTCCTATCTGTATAATGTCTTGTCCTATCTGTATAATCTCTTGTCCTATCTGTATAATGAAGATGATGATTAATTGATTGAATTTTAACCTTATTTGCGTCTTCTTCGCTGTCCTTGAGCCAGGACTCTACTCTTCTCTTGATCTCCTTCGTCTTGGGGTCCTCCATCTTCTCCTCCTGCGTCCTCTTGTCCTCCACCTCCTTTCCACTAGAGGGCTGAGGAGCAGACCTTAACAAAACTGGTTTAACGGGACTGTGCCAAAAAATGTTAAAAGAAAGATTCTTAATTTGGCTTTTTTCATTAATATTTCTGGTTGAAAGGGACAGAGCGACAAAATCAATACAATGAAGACGTCTTTTTATCTAAGTTTTGATTGTTAACAAGCTTTTTTCGAATTACAAGTGTATACAAGCTTTTTAAATGGACAGCTTCTCCATGACTTCTATATATGTATCTATGAAGTTTAACAGGTTGATATGAATGGAAATTTAAATCAAAAGTCGTCTTAATTTTATTGATAAAATCGCCTACCATTGTACTTTATTTAAAAAAAACTGGTGGTCAAACTTTAAAAGTACTTTTTACGCACATTATTATTTGATCCTTGCAGTGTTTCATGAAATTTAGTTAAACCCCTTTTAAATCTTTTATTCAGCAGAAAATTGTTCTTAAAAAAGGACTGTATGCTGAACTTTACAAAACATCGTCCATAGTATTTAAAAATTAGTTTTATTCAGAAAAATTGAACTTCTTGTTTTCCATTATCTCCAAAAGATATTTTCAAATTACACATACTTGAACATTAGTCTAAATCAATCAACAGAAAAATGAGAATTTAAAAAAACCTATTTTCATACTAAATTATATCTTAATTAATTCTGCAAAAATTATTTCGAAAACCACGAAACTTTACCTATCTCTGTCCAGCTCTGCGGCTAGGAGCTCAGGTCTCTTCCTGCCTCGTGATCTCCTCATAAGACCACGGTCAAGAGAACCATATCCGGACTGTTCAGCTAAAAAAGAAAAAAAATTACGAAATCTTATTTTAAAACAATTAAGAAACAATAAATATTTGTTTAATATTTACATAACAGATCAGATGTTTAATCATAGAATATCAAAAATTTACCGACATTCCCGACGCTTAAATTTCTTTCCCGGTTTCCATCATGGCCGCCAGCCACGAGGTAATGGATAAGTTTGTCGTCTTCCTCGCTCTGAACTCGAGATCGTCTTCGTCTCATCCCCGGGGAATTCAACAACTCCCCTTCTCCTGCACCTTTAATTCATATTTCTAATATTAATTATATTCAAGCGGTAAAATTAAAATCTACAGTGAGAACCAGAAAACTGTGGAATAGGAAGACGTCATTAAAGTGTAACTTATTAGTAGGTAATTGCATCACCTATTAAGTCAATTGGATCTGTTTTTACTGCACAATTGCTGTGTATCATATGTTCATTTCGACAATTTAAGCCTCAAAGTCGCCTTTCTATTCTAGAGTCGAAGTTGAACCACTTCTCGCTAGTTACTAAACGGTGTAACTAATCTGTCCAAACGGTGAACGGTCCGTTTAAGAAGAATACTGCACCTTGACCACTAAATGAGCCTCCTCTTCCTCTACGGCCAGTTTTGGGAGTTCCGTAAGGTGTAGTTGTGTCCTCTTCATTATCTTTTCCAGCAGACGTCCCTGACCCAGTACTCACCTACCATAGTAGAAAAGAAATGGACGATATGATTTTGAAATTTAATTTTTTTTAATTTGTCCTTCTACAATGAAAACAACAAACTGAGCTGCAGAATGAATTTCATCTCACTGAGATCTAGACAGCCCTGAAACTTAGTCATCAAGCTTTTATACAGCCTCGACTTTAAAGTGTCGCACTGCCATTGCCTTTGGTTTACTTCATCCAACTCACTTATACTTTATTGTAGCTCTAGACCTATACATTAAAAAATAACAACGCACTTATTCCGAGTTTCGGTTTAAAAGGAGTAATTGGCGAAATTCTACACATCTTGGTCTGCAATGGTCCTAGTTTTCCTGTTCTTAAGACGCCATGGATTTTGTAATCAGTAGATTGCAATCCTTGCATCTGATATATTTCTAAAAATGTGCCACTTTTTACATATTATAGTTCATCTCCAAATCCGTATAGGGACATTTCAACTTCAGAAAAAAAAAAAACAATAAAACGACTAAAATTCAGCCATTTTCTGTTTTTACTGTATTTAGACAAAAATATTTTCTTAGTTTATAATAAAGATTTAAATAACTCATAAGCGATGATTTTAGAAATAAGGTAATTTTGTATTTATTATGCATCCCTTTTTTAAAAGAATATTTTTCATCAAATTTGAACAGAAATCTTTGTACTATGTAAACAGAAAGTACATTTGCATCTTGAGAAAATATCTTTGATGACGTAGATCTACTGTATTGTCCATTAATGTTCATACAGCATACACTGATTCAAAATATCTTTTGAATACTCTTTTCAGCTGCTTTCTTCTTTTTTCAAAAGGTAATATTATAATATATTAAGTATAATAAAGTATTGTTAATACTATAATAAAACCTGTTATATAAGTGAACTCTTAAAGCATCAAAGCAACTTCACTTTAAAGAAGTTAGGGAAGGAAATATTTTAAAAAAGATCAAAATAAAGTTAAAAATAAAAATAAATAGATGTTGACTAGAAAATGTCCGATTTAAAAGAATACCTTTTAAACTTTAGTCTGATCAATGATGACGGATAAATATGTGTTTTTATAGCTGAATATTGATGATTTACAATTGGGGTTTCTATATAAAACTTATCTCACGGATTTGCAGCAGAAATATTCGAAATGATACGTTTAAAGATAGATAATCTGTGATATCTTCTTCATTGTTAATCAGGCAATAAGTACCATTGTTAATCAGACAATAAGTACCATTGTTAATCAGACAATAAGTACCATTGTTAATCAGACAATGAGTACCATTGTTAATAAGACAATAAGTACCATTGTTAATCAGACAATGAGTACCATTGTTAATCAGACAATAAGTACCATTGTTAATCAGGCAATGAGTACCATTGTTAATAAGACAATAAGTACCATTGTTAATCAGACAATGAGTACCATTGTTAATCAGACAATAAGTACCATTGTTAATCAGTAGCTGGGAATCCAGAGACTTTTTGAACTTTCTCATCACCAGAGGAGAATATTGTTGCTAAAAAATAGATTAAAAAATAAATATAAATGAAAATGAAAAAACTGAACAGAATTGATGTAAGTAAAATCATTCAAAATCCAGATTGCATCAGTTTAACTTATTCCGTAAATTCAAACGTTTTCAGCTCCTGTTTTTAGAACGATTTACTTTTAATCCATTAATTGCTAATTACCTTAAATCCTCCATCTGGGAGACGACGATGAATGAATCCCTCTTTTATATCATGGATCAAGTTATTCATCACGATCCCGTCCTCACCATCCTCATCCTTCCCCTCCTCCTTCCCTCCTCCTATAATATTATTCTTAGGAAATTCCGGCTTTGCATTGGTGTAAGGGGATTTTTTTCTTCCAAACCTCAAAACTATTAAACCGCTCGCATCGATGGGAATTCCAAAACTTTTGGAATTGAATCAATATATGGTAAAATGAAAAATTCGCAAAATATCATCCTTCTTCCCTTCATTATCCTTCCTAATCATTCCTTATCCTTTCTCATTTTTCCTCATCCTTCCTCATTCTTCCTCATCCTTCATTATCCTTCATTATCATTCCTTATCTTTCCTTATCATTCCGTATCCTTCCTCATCATTCCTCATACTTCCATATTCTTCCTCATTCTTCTTTATCCTTCATTATCCTTTTACATCATTCCGTATCCTTCCTCATCATTACTGAAACTTCTTCATCATTCCTCATAATTCCATATTCTTCATCATACTGCCTTATCAATTCGTTATCATTCATTATCCTCTTAAAACCTTCAAAAATCCTAAACTTTCAACAACAAAAAAGTTTTTTCCTGCCCGATGTCTTTAATCATTACCAAGTTCCTGTCTTCCTGCCTTGTATGCTCTTGCCTGCCTGCCTACCTGCCATGTTTTGCATGACCCGCAAGTATTGCATGATCTGTACGAATAACTGATTTAGCAAAACAAATACGCGCACCTGCGTAGTATGATCCCTTCACCTCATAATTGTTTTTCAGGATGCGGGATTATACGCACACAATAGAAAAAGTGAAACACAGAAAGACATAAATCCGCTAAAAACATGAGAAAAATCTGTCAATCAGGCAAATTTTGAACGACTGAAACAAACCCACGCACCATGTACGAACACTCCCCCTATAATGCATTTTTTGACAAGTGATTAGACGAAGAGACCGAAATACGCTGTACGACCAAACAGAGAGAGGTCTGAATGCGGAAGTGTTTGTCGGGTTAAGTGAGTTTATGTAAGAGAATACTAAGCGTCGCTTAACCTTACTTGTAAAACTACCCATTGTGTGCTTGTAATGGATGCATGAGGTGGATTGGATGGATTGGATGGATTTGGTCGAGTTGATCGAAATGGATAGATTTGGGATTGAGTTGGTGGTTTTTTTAGGTTAACTTAATATTAAATGGATTGGATGGAATTGTAAGCACTAAATGTCATCTAAATCCATAGTTTCAATAAGCATATAACTTTAAATAGCCAACAGCAACTTTTACGAGCGAAAACAATCACATCTATTGATTCCTGTGCGCTAATTTTGTTACTTCATTTTGAAGAAAGAAGTGAATATATTAGCACTGAAAATTGGTCAGATTAATGTAGTGTATTGGAAATAAAAGTCAAGTGCATAGAAAATCAATGTACTTGATATTTTAAGATACAATGATAACCAGAAAACAATGACATAGGAAGAAGACATTATAATTATAGCTCAAGTGTATTGCAAAGCAAATAGTTTTACTTGACACGTTTTAAATCACTAATTTTGTAAAATGGGTCTGTTTACACTGCACAATTACTGTGTCTTATGCTCATTAAACGTTTTGAATTGATAACTTGATTCTAAAATTTGTCGACTTCCTATTTCAGAGTTTTCTGGTTATCATTGTACAATTGTTGCACCTGAATAAGATCCGGATCTGCGCTTCGCCTGTTCCATTTCTCTGACCAGTCGTCTTTGTTCCGCTGTTCTCTCCAGCTCTTTGCGCTTTTCATTCTCCTAACACGTGTAAAAATCAAAATGGAGTACAGCTTCAATTATATGTTTTGCAATGTGCACAAACTGACTTTGTTTACATTTTTCCCACAACCTGCACTACACTGTAATAATACCTGTACTGCAGTTTTAAAACTGGTATTGAACTGATGAAAGGCTCTGAAGCACTCCTCAATCCTGAAGGTTGCGGCATCCTCGCAGAAGAACTCTGCAAGGTTGGTCTGCATCTTGGTCAGGTCAGACATTGCGTCCTGCAGGCATTCAACCTCCTTCTCAGAGTACTAGACAACAGTACAGTTAAGAGAGGAGAGAAAGAATTAGTGCATCTTTTACTGTATGTTGTATTAGAACTGCTCTGGAGCTGGGTTAAGGTAAATTAACAATAATTGGTAAGCAACCCCTTACCCTGCCCAAGAAAGTTCCGCACTTTCTCTACAATCTTTGTTATTGTTTTGATTAAACTAATTTCTAGCAGTCAGCTTATACGTTTTAGTCAACTGTTACAAATGGCCGGTACAAACTCTTTGCCACTACTTTTAGAAAACCATTCATTTTCAAAAAAAATTATTTGTTCACTACAGTCAAGCCTGACATGGGATCCATCTTTCACATAAAACATCAATGAAATATTCTGGTCATAGGAAACTGTAATGTGAATTATCAAAATCATCAAAATCTAATGCTTTCAACCTCCACGGATACTAAACGAACACTGATGCATCTATTCTTGTTTACAAATTCCGCCCAGGGAGAACTGGTTTCAATATGTACGCAGAGTATACGCAACTGCAATTAACTTTCCTTGCATTATAACCTTGACTACAGTACGTTTCTGGGGGAAAGTTNACAGATACAGATACAGATACAGATACAGATACAGATACAGATACAGATACAGATACAGATACAGATACAGATACAGATACAGATACAGATACAGATACAGATACAGATACAGATACAGATACAGATACAGATACAGATACAGATACAGATACAGATACAGATACAGATACAGATACAGATACAGATACAGATACAGATACAGATACAGATACAGATACAGATACAGATACAGATACAGATACAGATACAGATACAGATACAGATACAGATATAGATACAGATATAGATACAGATATAGATATAGATATAAATACAGATACAGATACAGATACAGATACAAATACAGATACAGATACAGATACAGATACAGATACAAATACAGAAACAGATACAGGTACAGATACAGATACAAATACAGATACAGATACAGATACAGATACAGATACAGATACAGATACAGATACACATACAGATACAGATACAGATACAGATACAGATACAGATACAGATTCAAATACAGATACAGATGCAAAAACCGATACAGATACAGATACAGATACTGATATAGAAACAGATACAGATACAGATACACATAAAGACACAGATACATTTTTCAAGTTTAAGTCGTATGATCCCCCAACGGTTTGTGGAAAGGGGGGGGTCTCCTTACACTTACTTGCTTGCTTCCTCTAGTATTGTAAGATCATCAATAATTGTAAGAAGATCAGGTTGTGTTACTTCTATCTGTCCAGCTACATAGTGAAGTAGATGAAGCCCAGGCTTGTTAGATCTATAAATTATTTAATAAAAATATACATTTTTGAAAATTAAAATTAAAATTAATGAAAAAGTTAAAAATTTGTATCTTCCATTTACATTTTGTGCCAGGGAATGATTTTTTTTTATGTTGAGAAAAATGTAGAAAAAATTCACCTTATATCTGTTAGTTTATGTAGAGAAGATATCTTCATCCCAGCAGCATTTCCAGCATACCCACCCTGAACAGTGTTCATGTACAGTTCATGTACAATTCATGTACAGTTCATGTACAATTCATGCATAGTTCATATACGATTCATGTACAATTCATAAACAGTTATTGTACAATTCATCAATTCAAGTACAATTCATGGACAATTCAAGCATGATTCATATACAATTAATGTACAATTCATGTTCAATTCACGTACAATTCATGTTCAATTCATGTACAATTCATGCAAATTCAATTATGTACAATTAATGTACAATTAATGTACAATTCATGTTCAATTCATGTACTCTTTATGTACAGTTCAATCATGTACAATAAATGTACAATTAATGTACAATTCATTTACTATTCATGTACAATTCATGCAGAGTTAATATACAAGGTTGACGCGGTCAGACTTTATGCTTCTTATATGTTGAATTCACTTTTACTAAAGGGGCAGAGGTGCGTGAAGGTACATCTCCAATCTCTTTAAAAAGCAAAAACAAAATCCTAATACTTAACCTCACTTATATTTACTAATTTAGTTGCCTTTTTCACAGTCGAAACAGTAATTCCGCCAAAAAGGAACTTATTCCTATAAATGTGAAGTTTCTAAATATTTAGGTAAATTTCTTAGAAAACCATTAAAAGAAGGACCTTGCTACGCACTTTCAAGGGTTAATACGAGAATTTACATGAATGATTAATTTTTATGTTGAGAAGGAGAAAAATGTAGAAAAAATTAACCTTATATCTGTTAGTTTATGTAGAGAAGATATCTTCATCCCAGCAGCATTTCCAGCATACCCACCCTGAACAGTGTTCATGTACAATTCATGTACAATTCATGTACTATTCATGTCCAATTCATGCACAATTCATGTACAATTCAGGTACAATTCATGCACGGTTCATGTAAAAATCATGTACAGTTCATGTACAACTCATGTACAATTCATGTACAATTCATGTACAATTCATGTACAATTCATGCACAGTTCATATAAAATTCATGTACAGTTCATGTACAATTCATGCATAGTTCATATACGATTCATGTACAATTCATAAACAGTTATTGTACAATTCATGTACAATTCATGTACAATTCATGTACAATTCATGGACAATTCAAGCATGATTCATGTACAATTAATGTACAATTAATTTACAATTCATGTACAATTCAATCATGTACAATTAATGTACAAATCATGTTCCATTCATGTACAATTCATGCAAAATTCAATCATGTACAATTAATGTACAATTAATGTACAACTCGTGTTTAATTCATGTACAATTCGTGTACAATTCAATCATGTACAATTAATATAGAATTAATGTACAGTTCATTTACAATTCATGTACAATTCATGCACAGTTCACATACAAGGTTGACGCGGTCAGACTTTTGGCTTCATATATGTTGAATTCACTTTTACTAAAGGGGCAGAGGTACGTGAAGGTACAACTCCAATCTCTTTAAAAAGCAAAACAGAATCCTTATACTTAACCTCACTTATATTTACTAATTTAGTTGCTTTTTTTCACAATCGAAACAGTTGTGAATTTGATTTTCAACAGAACAAATTGAGAATTTCTTGAAGTTACACATCGTGTACTTGAAGTTACACATCATGTTCTTACCGAATTTAGAAAGTTTCCCGCTTTAAGAACCATGTACAGTAAGGACTGCAGCTTCTGACTGGTCAGCAATTCTAGAAATAAAAATGAATGCTAAATTATAAAATATTTCTTTATTAATATTTCTTTTTTGTGTTCATTTAATTAAATTAACTTTGGTTAGATATATATTATTTAAATGTTTTTATAAAGTAGTTCCTGGATTATTCTTAAAATTTTTCGTTTTGTAAACTGTTTATCTATTTCATGTTAGATTTACTGTGTCCCAATAAACATGAGAATTAAATGACGACTTTTATATCCTCTTTGTTCAAAGCAGGATTATTTCGGAAATAGGATTTTGTAGTATCACAGTTTAAACATTTAACATCAAAAACTACTAGTCTCGGGATTCATAAAATGTGGTCTACCATTTTTTCAACTTCAAAATTGACGGAGATTAAAAAAAATTAAAAAAATTGTTCAACGTTTAATATACCGATCAATTTTAAAGATACAAAGAAGGTATTTCACAATCTGAAAAAATTTGAAGACGTTCAATCTTTTTTGATACATTTCATATCATTTATCAATTATCATCATTCAAGTCGTCTCTCCATTCCTATGTTTATTGGGACACCCTGTACAATATACACATATATATTATTTTTTTTCTTCATTTTTTTGATTCATAATTTGCCTCCTGAAAGTTGTGCTTTCATAATTAATGTTGTTTTTGAATTTTTTTCTTAACTTGTTTTACTAAAAAATATGTATAATTAACTTGTTTTTAGTAAAATTCATCTAATGTGTCTCCGTATATTCAGCTCGGTTAAATAAGTCGTCCTATATGATCAAGCTTTTAAGTCGTTCACAAAGTTAAGCAATAAAACGATAAAATCGTTCAAAACGTTTGTTGACGTTTTTCCTCCTTATTTTGAATTATTAATCAATAGGAAAAATCCATACAATGGTTGAATAAAAATATATTAAGTCGACGCCATGAGAAAACAAATACAATGCGTGGGTGCCACTTTATGACGTTACTGTAATTAAAAGAAAGAAACCTACAAGGAACCAAGGTTGTAATGCAAGGAAAGTTAATTGCAGATGCGTATACTCTGCGTACATATTGAAACCAGTTCTCTCTGGGCGTAATTTGTAAACAAGAATAGATGCATCAGTGTTCGTTTAGTATCCGAAAAGGTTAAAAGAATTAAATTTTGATAATTTTGATAATTCACATAATAGTTTCCTATGGCCAGAATATATCATTGATTTTTTATTTGAAAGATGGATCCCATGTCAGGCTTCGATATCCGTCTTGTGTTTACATTTACACAGATTTGACGCATCAGATTAAGAGGGTTTCTATTGAATTTTTCTTGCTGTTCATCAACGGTTCGTAGTTAAAACTCATAAACACGATGTAGCGCCCTTGCGTTTAAAAATAAACATTTAGCCTTGAATTGTGTAAAAATATATATACAATACATGATGATTGATTTGATATTAAAAAATCCTCAATGGGTTGGATTTTCTTTAAGCTTTGTGATTCTATATTAAGGTCTTTAATAAAAGAGGACAACAGCTATAATGATTATATTAATAATAAATACAATGGTTTACATTATTGTATTGAAAACGCCTGGTACAGTTCATTTATATAATTCGTTTTTACTAGAAGAAATACATACTTTGTATTTACAGTTGATATTTCCTCATGGCGATTTTTTTATGATAAGGAGGAGGGGGGGGGGGATATTTTCCCCCACCTCACTGCACTCACTACGACAATTTTTTCATGGAAGTATTGTGATTTAATATTACTGGAACTTTTTAAAGCAAACTTTATGTATCACTATTTAGACTCAGGTTCTTTTGGATGTTAACATGTTGTAGCTGTAAAGCTCATGTCAAAAAAACTATTTAAATTAAATAAAAGACGAAAAGCTAAACAGTCGAACTCTAATTTAATATCCCTATATCTTTGCATCCTGATGACATAAACCTAATATCGAATTTTTTCTTCATTCTTACCTTGTCCTGCCGCCAACATTGATTCAATAGAAGGTTCCAGAAAACTCATATTTGCCTCAAACTCTGATTTCAGCAGCATACTTTCTATTCGCAAACGATAACTGGATAAAAAAAGAATATTTATTAAAGGGTTATGTACGTAAACTAACTTTAACCAACTTTAACTTTAACTTAAAAAAATTGCAAAACGTTACATTTGTTTTTTTTAAATTTTCTCATTTTAAAGAACTTTTCTAGAAATTACTGCTTATCAGTCTAAAACTACTGTCAATAAAACTTACTTTTTAATTGGGATTAGTTGAAGAATAAATCTTTCTGCATTCCCAAGCTTTTTCACATCTCCATCGTAGGCTTTCAACATCTCGATCTAATGATAAACAAATCTTTTTAAGAATTCAGTTTTAATGAATCGCTAATAGCTGTCAGAAATCCCAATCTCAATTTAAAAAATTAACAAAAAGGGGACTAAGCTAAACTATGCAGATGGAGTATATCAGATGACTCTGGGTTGTATTCGACCTTAAACCCTGGTTCCCTGTTCTAGATTAATTATGGAGAAGTTTGATAAAAATCTACAACCGTTCCTGGAACCCAACTCTTGTTCCCAGATTCATTATTGTATCTGCGTAGACGAATCAACCTTCATTATTTTAGCTGCGTATATGATTCAACCTTTATTATCATAGCTGCGTATATGCTTCAATTTTCATTGTCATATTTGCGTATTTGTTTGAACCTTCATTATCATAGCTGCGTATACACTTAAACCTTCATTATTACAGCAGCATATACGCGTCAACCTTTATTATCATAGCTGCGTATTTGCTTCCACCTTTATTGATATAGCTGCGTATACCCTTCAACCTTTAATATTATAGCTGCGTATAGGCTTTAACCTTCATATTATAGCTGCAAATATTCTTCAACCTTCATTATTATACCTGCATATTTATACTCATAAAACTTCAATATCAGAGCTACGTTTACTCATAAAACTTTATTATCATAGCTGCGTATACTCATAAAACTTCATTATCATAGCTGCGTATACTCATTAAACTTCAATATCATAGCTACGTATACTCATAAAACTTCATTATCATAGCTGCGTATACTCATAAAACTTCATTATCATAGCTGCATTTACTCATAAAACTTTATTATCATAGCTGCGTACACTCATAAAACTTCATTATCATAGCTGCGTGTACTCATAAAACTTTATTATCATAGCTGCGTTTACTCATAAAACTTTATTATCATAGCTGCGTATACTCATAAAACTTCATTATCATAGCTGTGTTTACTCATAAAACTTTATTATCATAGCTGCGTATACTCATAAAACTTCATAATCATAGCTGCGTATACTCATAAAACTTCATAATCATGCTGCATAAACTCATAAAACTTAATTATCATAGATGCGTATACTTATAAAACTTCATTATCATAGCTGCATATACTCATAAAACTTCATTATCATAGCTGCGTATACTCATAAAACTTCATTATCATAGCTGCGTATACTCATAAAACTTCATTATCATAGCTGCGTATAAGATTCAATCTTCAATATTATAGCTAGCTGCCCATCATGGCCCTATAAATTAAATATCTGTTCAAGAAATGGACATAAGCAAATAGGTTGACAACCTATTTGGACATAAGTAGCTTCAAATAGTTTGTACCTCGTCTTGTTCCGGTAGTATTTTCATGAGTCCTTTCAGTTTTTCAGGACCAAAATCATTATGCTCGCCGCTTAGTATCATCTCAATGATATCTTCATTCGAACTGAAAATATGAAATACTAAAATACAAGTGATTACTGGAAAACAGAACTTTGATTTCAAATGTTGAAAAATAAATTTTTAAACTAAATAATTCTAGATTTGAAAACGTAGTGCAAAGTATTTCATTGAGAGTGAGAAAAATAATCTAATTTAAATTTATCTCAATAAAAAAGTCTGAAATGAAAAGAATAAAATTGAATGTATAAAGGGTACACCCTGTATTTAGAGAAAATGGGTTCCACCCTGTAATAAAGATAATTGGTCTAGATTACACTAAACCTTTATGTTGTTATCTATAGTCAACATTATTTTAGACTTGGGGGGGGAGGGATGGGGCAAGAAGATAG